CATCTATTGATAATACTGATAATTTCTCGTGATAGATTTTTCCCAGAGTACCTGGTACTATTTCGGCAGAGTGGGACACTCTGATCCGATTAGAAATAGATAAAAATAAACAAATACTTCTAAATAAATTTATTTTCATTCAATAAATTATCTCAATATTTTAATTAATTAATAATTAGTCGTTCAATGATTGGAATAAAAACACAAAATACTGATTTCCGATGTCTTATACTTTGCCTGTGTCCCACTCTGCCGAAATAATACCAATAATTGCGTTCGCGTTTATCCTGGCCGACTTTTCGAGAGATTCTTTCAAGTCAAACACACTTAGAATCGCCATAGATGGTCCAGGATCTACCAAAGCTTTCAAATGCGTCCAAAAGTCGTTTAATCTGATTCGTATAACAGAGACAGGATCCGAAACGCGTTCATTGGTCTACCGATGCGTGTCCCACGCGAGCCGTGACGATTTTCGTGAATCGAGAGAACGGTGTACACACAGGTAGAACAACAGCATCTGAGGATGTAGCAATTACGTCTGGGACTGGTTGCCACAGATGGACGAGACCGCAGCCACGAAACGCCCCTTGCGTTACACATATGTTACAAGTTCCCTTCTGTCCCTCTTCCCTTTCCCTCTTCCCCCCCTTACCTCTTTGCCGTTCATTCCTTCCTGACCGAATTAATGTTCCTACGGTCAGCACGAAAGACGTTCCTGTGGGAACAGAGAGACGCTGCTTTGTCGGCGTTCATCATCCTCCTTGGCGAACGACGCGACCGCTCGGTTGACGAACAGAGAGACTACGGAGAGAGACTGCAGAATGGAGAGGATCAACTTGGCGAACGCGCTAGAGTTAATGAAGACGAGTTTGGTAACGAGCAAGATGAAGTAGACGGGATTAGATTAACCCTTTGCGAAGTTCAACGTCGAGGTACGTCGGTCGACGGTAAATATTGTTCCTCCTTGTTCAACGACCGCGAAATCAATTCCGAATGAAACGTAACAATACGAGATGATTATCTGAATCTCTGCCAAGTATACGTTTCTGGCTGATTAAATAATTAAAGAGTATCCGTGATTTTCTTCAATTGCGGCACAATTTCATGCGAATGGTGAATTAAAAATAACGAGTGGAACGAATGTCGAAGACGATGCGCATTATGCAAAAATATAGCCTTATTACAAGGAAATTACCGTTTCCAAGTATTGGCAATTTGAACCGAAGGCAAAAGGAAGTTACCGGTCGAAAAGAAACGAAAAAACGAGGTAAGAAGAAACCGGAATGTTTTTTGTCTTTTCACAGAACGTTGCCAAAAATGTTACAATCTCTCACGCGAGCCATTCTTTACCAGGAACTACGTGAACGAAGTGATAAATAACTCTGCTACCGGCAGTTTTGTACATCTCCGAGAATGGTACCAGATGAGAAAAAGAAAAGCAGTTGCTGCAACATGAATGTCAAAATTGTTTCCAGGTATAAATTCCCAATTGCGTCCAATCTCGATTCAATTAGGATCAATTATAATAATCTAAATTGTCCGAGTATCATAGATTGAAATTAATTTCAATATTCTTACTGCAATTCGTTCCAGTTTCGCCACTGTCGTGTACAGAAGATGATGGTTGGATAACGGTGACCCTGAAGACAGCGAGTAACCCCGTAGCCGTGAACCCTGCTTTCTCGTGTGCCGTTGACAATAGAAAAGTACGATCGTCTCGCGGGGTTCTGCACGCGATGACCTCCGCACTTCCTGAGGACACTCGAAGAGGAAACAACGTTCTAACGGGAGCGTGGCCCCGCTGCTTTCTGTCCGAAGCATTCTTCACCCTTTTGTTCCACCTAGTTTCGCCTAACTTAGAAGACCTAGACGAAATCGGACACGCGAAAGAGTGAAACGATAAAACCGCAAAGAACCGACGAGTTCGAAACCACTGCGGTTGATTATATCAACTTTCCTCTCCATTCACAGGTGATCCAGACTCGAGCCACTGCTTGCGAGAACTCTGACGTCCCGCGGTCCATCTGGCGGAGGCCGGCGGAACTATCTCCGCTCGAAAACGCTGCCATTCATCCCCGGGGTCGATGAAAGGGATGAGACAACAGTGACGTGCATCCCGATCGGCACGATCGCGAGATTACAGGCCACTCTTTCAGGGCTGACTTCGATGTAAATCAATCTGCCAGAGTTCCCCGAGGGTCTCGTTTAAAATCGTCGGTTTCTAAAGTAAACGGACATCGATACGAGGTGTCGGACGTTCCTAAGAAAATTTATCTTCTTGTTGCTCTCGTGCGATAGCCAAGTACCGCGTTCTCGGAGTTTGGAAACAAAAAGGGAAGGAAACGAGGGAAGAAATGGCGAGACTACCGTTCGCTTGTGCATCGATCAGGAGACGACAAAATCGAGCCGCCTGCATTTATTGAAAATTACTCCTCGCGTGCGAGCTCTACGAAAATGAGGAGGGTGAAGAGGTGTTCGATCCAGCGTCTAGCCCTCGCGATTATGCTATGCGGAGATGAGAAGATGACTAGCGGGAGGGCATAGGGGCAAAGGGAGCACTTCGTACGTTCCTCCCTCGGTTGACTTCGTCCCATTTCATTTTTTTTTTTACCCGCTAATCATCTTCTCATCTCTGCGTAGCAACTACACGGCACTAACGAATTAAACTTGTATGAATTTAATAATAGAAGTCCCGAATGTTTTGGTATCCAATTTGAAAAATATTATTTCCAGATAAGACGTATCTCATGGTCGAATAACCATCGGAACAATTCAACGAGACAGGATGAAAGGGAACACGAAATGTGATCACTTAACGTTGCAAGCCATCCAATTTTCCACTTTTAATTCGGACGATGGTCAACGTGTTTCGTCACATGCCCCGAAGACCCGTGGTAGAAAGGGGAATGTTAACCACCAATTGTACCATTCTTCTTTTCGTTTCTACGTTTTCCGCCTTGATTAACAGCTTTTATGCACTGACCACGTTTATTGCGGTGGTCACTTCAAAGCGACGATTCGTCTGGAACGAATGATCAAAGTCCTCTAATTATTCTTCATATTTCTAATTATCGAATTCCTATGCCGTTATAAAACAGATTATTTTTTGAAAATGGTGACTCTTGTTTCAAGATGTCTAAGGGCTTGGGAAATATTTCTGTGTGTTTCGAAAAGGAGCTAATACCAGAGATTAAGGGAACTAACGTGCCAAGTTTTGCACATTTGCCAAATTCCAAATTCACGAAGGAAGAGGGCGATGCTTTAGGCGATCGTGTCTCCGTGGAAGAGTATCGGCATATGCGGCTCGCGTGCATCGATGCAACCGTAGGATCGCAGTAACAGGTGCAGATGCAGAGGAAACGATCGTTAGCCCGACAGCCCGCGGTGCATGTGCGCCTATTATAATTTCTCTCGTAATTAGTCTTCCTCTCTCTTCTTCTCTACGTTTCTCGTACGCGTATTCGATCGTACCTATTATTTCTTTCGTCGCACGCATGGCCCGGCGAACATGTGCCATTCCTTCGCGGTCCCCGACGCTATCTTCGCTGACGATAACCAACGCGACCTTGAACTTCCATCCAAGATTGTCATTACGTTTCCTCATGGTTCACGTAATGTTCCCGAATAATTCATCTCTGCAATTCTAACAATTCCCACACCCATTTCTATTGCAACTCTGCTCCGAATCGCTGTTTACGATGCAACAAATTCGCTAGGCTGTTAACATCATTGATAGGCTAATTGTTTACGCTTGCAACTATTGTCATTGCAGAGGTGGAATTTATCGGAAGCGTGTTATGGAAAACAATGAACGAAATCTACGATGCAGTAACTCGGTGGGAATCGTGGAATTTATGGATCTTGAACGATAAATCATTGGATCTATTAATGATTGCTACAATGGAAACGGGATAATTACGGGTTAATAGGAGAATCTGTACTTTTCTACTTAATTTTTTTTATTTTTTAAATTAACCCTCGAACGACGGTGGTCCAATCAATGGTGACCCAGAAATTTCCACCATTGGTCACCGGTGATTACCGTGACTGAACGTGTTAGAGCATCGGAACGCGACGGGAACACCCAGGAATGATTAATGAGAACTGAGTAGTTGAAAGATTCGAAGACGTTTTTTTAAGTAAACGAATGACCATCGCGAAACGGTGCAATGTTGAAATTATGGAACAGATCCAAGACTCCGAGCTGCATATCCGAGAAACCGTCTTGCCAAGGGATTTCACCGAGGGTTGGCTGTTTGCGCCTCTCGACAAATAAGGGGAAGTCGTTATCCCCTAGATGGGAGGAGTAATTAACTGCTTCTACCTCCTTTCTGTCCGCTCCACCTCTCAGCCAGCATCCTTCCTTTCCGGCTTCGGCTTCTACTCGAAGGAGCAGACTTAAGGAGACCCGCTTAGGCTTTCACGGGGTCGTGTCTTCATTATTCACGCTAATCTGCTTTCGCCTCTTGCTTCTGCCGCCTCGATCTCACCCTCTTACTCCTCCGCTCCGCGACTTCTCTCTTGGTTATAGTTTATAATTTATTAGACACAATTATACTAATGGAAAACCCTTCCAGCCGGTCTTGAGAATTTACAAAAGTGTACGAATTCTTAGATCGGAAAGAGCGAACTTAAATGAAATTTGGAAAATTGTGATCCTGTAAGATTCGTGTTTCCAATTTTGATTAGAGACCATCTTCGAAAGGAACCCCATGGTGTTCGCCAAATTATGATGAATTGTTTTCTCCGTTAACCGGCAGTGCCGACAAACAGCCGACCAGAGCACCCCGACTGAGATAATCTTTCAGCAATTTTGGACCACTGATTGATCATCAGAATCTATCAGAACTTTCGTGTGAAAGAACCATCGAAATCGAATTTCTATTCTACTTTAGGATGGAAAACAACTGAAGCTAAGGGATGAATACGTTTAAATAATTAAAGGTACGAGTTAAATAAATTCTTCTGCTATTTTCTATGCTAAAAAAATAACGTTTAAGTTGATACTTCTTTTACAAGAATATTTACTAACTGATAACTATTCACAAATATAACATGTACTTTTGTATGTAGCTACTACACCACAATACCACATTCGTTTCGCACCGATCGATGAAACGATCCAAAGACATGTGTTGCATCGGTAAATTTTTATGAAGTACATTTGCATACGTTAAATTACATAACATATGGGACATTTACAAGAAAATTGCTATATATGATATCGCGATCTGTACAAAATGTAGATATAAACGTAAGCTGCAATAGTAATTATAAAATGCCTGTAGAAGTGAACGTAAACGCGTTAATTGCTTACTAGGTTACATGAATGCTCAAGTTAAGGTAGCGAGCCAATTGTTGTTAATTAATCTCGTAATGAAAAATTACGGGAAAACACTAAAGGAAAATGCTCTCCTCTTCCTGTAAAGCAAACAAGATGAACAGTATCTAGCAATAAGAGGCGCCTTCGATTTATATTATACTATAAAACTGAAACGGGAGAACCAGATTTTAAGTATAAAGTAAATCGTTACAAAATTTCTTGCGCGAGAGAGCGCAAGAATACACCCGCACGTGGAAAAATTAAACTGAAATATGAATATTATGAAATGTTATATATTCCTTGTATGCAACACATTCAGGTATCTCCCTAAAGTACCATTTCTTGTATACCAACATAGCATACATTATAATATAAATGCACAATTTATGAATACAATGTTCATGCCGATTTACGCCTTTATTGTGGTAAGTTTAGCAAAAAGTTTTGACCCGGTGGCAAATAGGCTACTTGGCGCGATCTAGATAGATTATGAGCAATGTCTTCTGCAGCCTCGATTCTTCTTAGCTCAACAAGACCATCACCAGCTTCGCCAAGGGATTTTGCTATTAAACTAGCTGCCTGTGCATCACCCTCTGCACTGATAATTGCTGCCTTTTTATGCTGTTCTGCCTTTTCTACCAAGAAACGTGCTTTCTCTGCTTCTTGTTGTGCTACCTGTTTCATCTCTACAGCCTGGGTGAACTCTTTTCCAAAGGTTAAATGAGTCTAAAATAAAATAATTGCTCAGGATAAGTTACAATGGATTGTATTAGGAATTGAAACTAATTATGATATACTTACAATGGAAATATCGTCTAAAATCAGTCCGAACTGTTCAGCTCTTTCTGTTAAATCTTCCCTAACTTTCTGAGAGACAATCTCCCTCTGTGTAATTAATTCTCCTGCATCAAATTGGGCAACTACTGCTTTTAATACTTCATTAGTAATTGACGGCAATACTCTTTCATCATAATCTATACCGAGAATGGTATAGATTTTTGGCAGAGAATCTGGTATTGGTCTAAAGAGAATACGAAGTGTGATATTTACATTTTGCAGATCTTTACTTCCGGTAACAACAGGAACATTTCTTGGTCTAGATCTGATATCAAATAAAATTGGTTTTTGCACCCATGGAATGAAAAAGTGTGTTCCTTCTCCTACAACTTGATTCTTTATACCAGTAAATCGATCAAAAATAACAGCTCTGTGACCTCCATCGACTGAAACATTAAATCACAAATAATTATAAGACAAATTGAACTTTGATCCCTTAAACCTTCTATGATTAAAAAAATGATATACTGACCATTGTACAAGGCACTGTGAATAACACTTCCAGTCATAGCCATACCTAAGCCAAATGTACCCAGTCGATTTAGAAATTGTGCCATCTTTTAACTAGGTATTTGAGAAAGAAAAATGATAATTAAAATGTATTCTGATGCGTTGTTATATTAACATAGAAATAATTCTAACCTAGAAACTTAAAGAACTGGAACTTGAATTTAAATCAAAGAAATCGCATACTTTATTTTTCCTAGATAACAAAATAGAAAGCTACTAAACATACATAAGTGTAGAGTCAACATTAATATAAACAATTTAAATGTTTTAAACTTTTTGAAATGTCCGGCCGGTTGAAACCTCAACTGATTCTACGTACAAGACATGATTCTAGCAAAGTTAACAATCTGTAACATTAAACTAATAAAATAAAATTAGTATAATTTGTACTGACACAATGATTCCTTACGTAATAAATTGTGTCTTTGAAGTATTCACTTTTCTTCTCGCGTGGTGTACGAATATCGATAAAAGCAAAATGGAGGCGAACCTCAGTCAGTGACAACAAATAGAGGAAGAATGGACATGTCACTGTCCTCAAAGGGTCCTGATTTTAGGGTTTCCAGAGACCCCGTATACGGAGTACCGTTGGTACGATAATTGTGCCTGTTTTACCAGTCCCTCTTTTACTGCACCCCGACCTGACAGCAGTAAAGACCCAATTTTTACACCCTTTAGTTTTACCTTTTTAGAAATCAGCCGAAATCAGCGAAATTATTAGAATAATTGTTTAAGGTGATGCGAGCGTCGAAAACTTTACCGACAGACCCTAGAAAAATCCATAGACGCAAGTTCTCAAAATACGTCCTCATTTCTAAACAAAATGCAAAAAAATTTGAGTGACGTGTTCAGGAGGCTCTAAAGAATATTAGTCTGGTCCTTATATTATCCAAATCGTCAAAAAGTTATAAAATATTGAAACTGCTGTCTGTCAACGGTCAAGAAAATGGCGGATCGGACTCACCTGCATTGATTTATTCGTGATATAAACATTTCTGTGAATCGTATGTCCAAATAGGGACCAGACTGATATTCTTTGGGTCGGATAGAATAAAACGAGCACCCAAGGGATGATGTATAGGTCTCCAGGAAGAAGTATTTTGAGAATTACGATTTCGTTGATTGTTCACACGCGAAAGACGTCAACAAGGTAAAACAGACCAGAAATTTAGTTTCTCATTCATTCTGTAGGGCGCAGTTCGTTCGTTTGATTAATAAACAATTGTAAAATTAAAAATAATAATTAAACAAATATTAACAAATATCAGATAGAAATAGTTAAATCTGCGGAACCGGTAAAGCGGAACGTCATGCTTGATTGCGCGCGCCGCGCGCCGGTACAAGCGTGACCTGTAGAGAGGTCAAATCTAATCAGTCTTATCGCGACCGCTGAAGGATACGGATGGATCTGTCAAACATATACCGGTACGGGTTGATACCATGGATATTCGTGCATGGATTTATCAGTGTATTACCACAAGTGTTACTGTGTTTGCCTATAGTGTTTCCCATGTGTTTTGGAATATTTATACGGATATATTAGTTCGTTTTATGGTGTGGAACCCCATGTACTTGCATGTGCTTTATTGTGTTTTATGGTGTGGTACCCCATGTACCTGCAGGTACTTTATTCTGTTTTATGGTGTGGTTCCCTATGTGGTTTGGCATATTTATACGGATTTATTAGTGGGTTTTATGGAGTGGTACCCTATGTGTTTTGGCATATTTATACGGATTTATTAGTAGGTTTTATGGAGTGGTACCCTATGTGTTTTACTACAATTTTGCAAATATTTTATGGTGTTCTATGGTTTTGATCTTCATGTGTTTTGGGATGTATTTATTTGCATGTGTTTTACCGTATTTTATGATGTAGTTATTCCCATATAGTTTTGCATACATATTTTTAAATTATAGTATGTATTAGCATATTAACTACAACAAATTGAGAGAAAACATATATCGTTCAAGAATCGTGATTTTTATGCTTCTAGATGAGTGCTTTGGCCAGTGGGGGTACCGTTTCTTTGACGAGCCAACAGTCGAGCTATGATGCGTGGCGAGTGCAGTGGTGCAAGTCAACGATCGGTGAGTCGCATGCTTTAAAGTTCCTCTGGTTCCCATCATGTCGTAGGACGAATGGTCCGTAGCGACACGGGAATTGGTTGTAATTTTTATTTTTTGAGCGAGCATAGTGACCCACGAATATCACTGTATCATTTTATACAATGATAATCGTGCAAATTGCTTTTTTGTGTATTTTATGCCTTAGCTCAGGATAGGGTTTTCTTGTACATATTTACATATATACATTTCGAGTTTAAAAATGTAGAGAAGTCGGATGACCCTCCGACTTCACAATACACTTTCTTTTTCATATGTACAAGAATTTATTTCGCGATGAGCGGATTTCAATATCAAAGTAATAAGCATGAATACTATTAATTATTATAACTACTTACTTTGATAACGAAATCGCTCTTGAAATTGAAACGTTTTTCCGATTTTACTCGTGAAATTGGCATCAGTTTAGTATATGGGCTGGCCCCCCAGGGGGGTCAGTATTTGCTCTTCAAGCATTGTATAAAGTTCCCCTTTCGTACTTGAAATTCATTCTGTCACGTTCACGGTTCTCGACCCTAAACACTCATCATTCGCACTTCAGCCTCACGAACTCTATCATATAATCATTTATCCACCCGCATAGACTTGTGTAGTGAAATATTACCCCGTTAGGATTTTCAAGTTATAGTAGTGTTGCGAAAAATTTTCAACGCGAGAATAAATATTACCCCGTTAGGATTTTCATGTTTAAGTAGTGATGCGAAAAATTTTAAACGAGAGAGTAAATATTACCCCGTTAGAATTTTCAAGTTGAAGTAGTGTTGCGAAAAATTTTCAACGCGAGAGTAAATATTACCCTGTTAGAATTTTCAAGTTTAAGTAGTGTTGCGAAAAATTTCCGGCGCGACAGTAAATATGACTATACACTGACTAGTATTCGGTGGGAATCCTTTTGGTTTTTATTTGATAAAATTAGTTACAAGGATTCCGCGGCATAAGACCGTGAACACCACCTCATGGGAGATAAAACCATGCATTACTAGGCCTTTGCAGGCACAGCCATAGAGTACGGAACATTTAAGTATGTTGCAACCCATACGCTAAGCTGTCTTAAAGTCCTTTTGCCTATACTATGGGCGTCCACCACTCGGACACGTTGGATGCAACGTGTTCGATGGGTGGGTAGCGCTCTTAGCGAAGGGGTGCACCCTGCCTGGGCCTAGAGCCTTAAACAGGCGGGGTGGGTGGTATGTAGCGTCGGGCGTAAGTCCAGGGGGCCTAAGAACCTCCGTTGCCAGCTGATATTAGCAGTGGACGAATGTTTGAGTCATATTTGTTCAATTTTGCTTTTCAATATTTGCTCTTCAAGCATAATTTAAAGCTCCCCTTTAGTCATGTTGCTAGATCAGGATTTTCTATTTTAATTAGTGTTGCGAAAAATTTCCAGCGCGAGAGTCACTATGACGATGCACTTACTAGTATTCGGTGGGAATCCTTTTGGTTTTTGAACTCAATGTTTTATTTAATTAATCAAATTAGTTACAAGGATTCCGCGGCATAAGACCGTGAACACCATCTCATGGGAGATAAAACCATGCATTACTAGGCCTTTCAAGGCGCAGTTTAGAATGTGGCGCACATCTATATGTTCCATTTAATAAACTGCAGTCCTTTTGTCTATACTATGGGCGTCCGTCAATCTGACACCGTTGGATGCAACGTGTTGGACGGGCGGGTAGCGCTCTTAGCGAAGGGGTGCATCCTTTCCTAGGCGGGGTGGGTGGTATGTAGCGTCGGGCGTAAGTCCAGGGGGCCCGAAAACCTCCGTTGCCAGCCGATATTAGAAGTGCACCATTTTTGCGTCATAGTTGCTCTATTTTGCTTTTCAGTATTTGCTCTTCAAGCATTGTAGAAAGCTCTTCGTTCGTACTTCAAATTCATTCTGTCACGTTCACGGTTCTCTACCCTAAACACTCATCATTCACACTCATCATTCATCAGTATAGTGAAATATTAGCCCGTTAGATGTTTATGTACTAGTCATGTTCTTAGATCAGGATTTTCTATTTTAATTATTGTTGCGAAAAATTTCCAACGCGAGAGTAAATATGACAATGCACTGACTAGTATTTGGTGGGAATCCTTTTGGTTTTTAAACTCAATCCAATATTTTATTTATTTAATCAAATTAGTTACAAGGATTCCGCGGCCTAAGACCGTGAACACCATCTCTGGGAGATATACCCATGCATTACTAGGCCTTTGCAGGCGCAGCTTTAGAATACGGAACATATGAAAATATGTTACCATATTCTAAACTGCAGTCCTTTTGTCTATACTATGGGCGTCCGTCAATCTGACACCGTTGGATGCAACGTGTTGGACGGGCGGGTAGCGCTCTTAGCGAAGGGGTGCATCCTGTCCTGGCGTTACGACGTCCAGGCGGGGTGGGTGGTATGTAGCGTCGGGCGCAAGTCCAGGGGGCCTAAGAACCTCCGTTGCCAACTGATATTAGCAGTGCACCATGTTTTATGTCATAGCTCAATTTTGCTTTTCTGTATTTCCTCTTCAAGCTTTATATTTGGAAAGTCGAGTCACTTTTATTGAAAATAAAACCTCCTGGGGGGGCCAGCCCATATGCTAAATCGGAGCCATGAAATTTCGCCGATATTCTTACTTTTAATAAAGTGAGAATATCATCTTTAGTTTTTGCTAATGATACATTTTAGCTTAGGCATTTCAGCACACATGAAGAAAACTGGTAGGTGAAAATACCTTTGGCCTTGTTCATTTTTATGCCCAAAGCTCATTTGGGTACTTAGATGTACTCGCGTGGGTGGAGGGCGGTGGACAAGGTTTAGTTTTAAGTGTAATACATTTTGGCGACTGACAAAAGTAGTGAACCAATAGTGAACCACGATAGAAGTTCCACATGTGTGTGTGTGGTTAGGATGTGGGATTTGTATCGTTTATTAACAATCTTAACTTACTATAATATTACAAAATACTTATCAAGAATAAATTGAAAAATTTTTACATTAGATAATTCAATAGAATACGAAAATGAAATGTATTACTTTAGCATAATGTTCACTATTATTTGTCAGTCGATTTCAGCAAAAAGGTATGATTTTATTAGAGTGTGAATGTTGAATTGAACTCGGGTGTCGGAGGCGTCCCGGGACGTTCTCTCTAGGTGTAGGCATTTTTGCACCCGGGTGGTTGTATGAGAACCGTGGAGTGAATTTTTGTGAGAATGATTTTTGCCCTTTTTTAAATATAGCGATAGGCAGGCAGGTAGTTTACTTCTGGTGTGATTGAGTTTAGTTTATAAGTAGGCAGGGCCAGAGCGAGCTTTCATGTTTCTCTTCGTATTCTCCTCTAATACGTGAGAAGCTTGTATCTGGGGTAATTAAAAAATCGAGAGGAAAAATGAAAATGCAAATTAATTAGTTGATTAATTAATTAATTTAGCATTCTCTCTTGATTTTTTCAAGGCCAAGCCTTATTAGTTTGTAAGTCGTAGTCGTGGTACTAGACCCGATTACAAAAATGAAGTATTAAAGTGAAAGTGAAGTGAAGTGAAGTGAAGTGAAATTAAAAAGTGTTTTGTGCTTGGACATTTGCAAAAATTGTGCAGGTATGCGAGTAGCGATTCAAGGGATCGTTGCTCGTTTACATGTTACGTTTTTACAAATGTCTGAGCAAACGTAAAATTTTCGCGAGTGATTTTTGTGAGGCTATTGCCGAAGAAAGAAGAGGCTATATGCTGAAGAGCCCCGGCAAAAGTTGCCCAGAAGAGGGGAACTACTAATGGCTCTCCATCTTCGGATGGACAGTCATTTTGTCACTATGCTCGCTAATTTGTTTTTTCATTTTTTAGTTTTTTTTTGTATGATCCTTTTGCACATATCGTCGAGAACATATTAAATTCGAAATTTTACGAGTTCAACAGCCAGCTCGTTGAATGGTCAACTCGTGTTTTTATTTCCCCTATTTCCTTTTTCTTTATTACTTTATTGAAATAAATTATTCTTTTCTTATTGATTTTGCACATAAATTATATCTTGTATTTTCATTTTACATCTGCTTAAATTCTCATTTTATTGTATATTTCTGAGATTGCAATGGTTGTTATGTATTCTGTTCTCGGCTTTTACTATTTCAATTGTAATCGAAATTATGATATTAATTATATTTTCTATTTCAGCATTTTATTGTTAAATTGTTATTTTGTTAATTGTTACAGAAATTATGATGTTAATTATATTTTCTATTTCAGCATTTTATTGTTGAATTGTTATTTTCTCAATTGTTTCTGATATTAGGATGTTAATTTTATTTTCTATTTCAAGATTGTAGTGCTTAAATTTTTATTTTATGTTGTCTGTTTTGAATGGTTTCACGTTATTGTATATCTAATCCTAATAATTATGTTTTCCATTACAGCATTTTACTGTTAAATTATTTTTATTTTCTCAATTGTTTCTGATATTAGGATGTTAATTTTATTTTCTATTTCAAGATTGTATTGCTTAAATTTTTATTTTATGTTATCTGTTTTGAATGGTTTCACGTTCTTATGATTTTAGGGTGGGTCACTAACGTAGCCACCTCCACGTGGTGTGACCTGGTAATTGATATCGTTTTCTAAAGATAACTTTTAGAAAGCGATATCAAGCTAAGAGCTACTATAAAAAGATTTATATATTTTTTAATTAGGAAACGATAGTTTAAATTCAGAAAAGTATTTTCGGGATTGCAATATTACCATATGATAGCATAAGTATGACACTTATAGAGTATATGGTGCATGTACGAAAAATTGAATGCACCAATCACCTGCTACGCAACTTTAGTAGAAAAATAAATGAGATTGACACAAAAGGTGAATTTATTTATAATCGTTATCATGTTGTATTTATTTATTTCGGAGGTCCGCAATAAATGCACAAAAGTACAAATGTGGAGAATGAAGAGGACCGTCTTTGACGGGGGTGGTGGTGGGTCTCTTCACACTCTCCTATTAATTTTTACTTTCCTAATAGTGGATTCATCAGGAAGTGTAAGTAACAGATTTTACATTCAAATAGTATAAAATCAAAATGAAATTGTTATATTTTTTTTTACAGATCAAACCAGGGTGTACAGCATGATAGTACAAGCGATCCGGAATCGTCTCAACCAAATTGTATACATAATGTTTGTTCAATAATTGCTTTCAATTATCTTATAAGTGTATAGGGTTCATGTTCTACTGTATTATTTTATTAATACTTCCCTTTTTGTTTAAATCTATTTATTTACTAATCTAACCATAACCTAACCGTTTAGTATTTGTATATAAAAAAAGATGTTTATTTTTCTGGGATTTCCTATAATTTATTTTTCATTCTCAATTATAGTTCCTCACTCCAACGTAACATATTTAAATTAATTAAAAGTATAATAAATTCGAAGTTCGGCCTCGACGCTCGCATCACTTAGTGTATTTCGTTTGATTGTGTGTCTATTTTTAACATTTGTAACAAATTAATTCTTTTGTAATTAGCAATTTTATTTAAATCATGATGTGAGCCGAAACATTTTAGTAATTTTTAATAATAAACAGATTTTGTGACAACTGATAACTGTAATTGATTGGAAATCGTTTGTGATTTACAAATATATCATTTTCATTGTTTGTGAGTCAATACCTCTTTAATTATTTACAAGTTTGTTTTATAATAAATAATTGTAGTGTGCATGCGCTTCAGATCCGGTCGTAACCATCACTATCCCGAACAAGTGAGTTTCACGATTTATTCGTTTTTCGTTCTTATATTTCGCTAGATCCGGTCAAACCCATCACTACCCCGAACAAGTGAGATTCACGATTTGTTCGTTTTTGGTTCTTATATTTCGCTAGATCCGGTCAAACCCATCACTACCCGGAACAAGTGAATTTCACGATTTGTTCGTTTTTCGTTCTTATATTTCGCTAGATCCGGTCCAACCCATCACTACCCCGAACAAGTGAGTTTCACGATTTGTTCGTTTTTCGTTCTTATATTTCGCTAGATCCGGTCAAACCCATCACTACCCCGAACAAGTGAGTTTCACGATTTGTTCATTTTTAGGTCTTATATTTCGCTACTTCCTTGGGGTCCCTGATATCCCAGATGCCATAATGTCGGTATCCAGAATCGTCAGAGCTTCGGGGTCCTTAGAACCCCGCTGCAATATAATTTAGGTATACAGAATAGCCGGTGCTTCGGGGTTCTTAGAACCCCAAGACGATGTAATTTTAGTATGCAGAAACATCGGTGCTACGGGGTCTTTAGAACCCCGCGACGATATAATTTTGGTATGCAGAATCATCCAGTGGCGGGGTCCTCAGAACCCCGTGGTAGTGTAATTTAGGTATGCAGCATCGTTGGTGCTTGGGGTCTTTAAAACCGCGAGACGATATAATTTTGGTAAGCAGAATCATAGATACTTCGGGGTTCTTAGAACCCCGTGACAGTATAATTTAGGTAAGCAGCATCGTTGGTGCTTGGGGTCTTTAAAACCCCGAGACGATATAATTTTGGTAAGTGGAATCATAGATACTTCGGGGTCCTTAGAACCCCGCGAGGATATAGTTTTAGTAACCTACATGAAGCTACCCGGAAGGAATAATAAAATATGATTATTTTTAATTTTTCTTCGTGTATTTCGTTTGTAAATCGTTTGTGATTCATTGTGAGTCTATTTGTAACATTTATGACAAATTAATTCTTTTGTAATTAGCAATTTTATTTCAATCATGATGTGAGCCGAAACATTTTAATAATTTTTTATAATAGACAGATTTTGTGGCAATTGAAAACTGTATTTGATTGGAAATCGTTTGTGATTTACAAATATTCCATTTTCATTGTTTGTGTGTGAATAATTTCTTAATTATTTACAAGTTTGTTTTATAATAAATAATTGTAGTGCCCATGCGCTACAGATCCTGTCGTACCCATCACTACCTCAAACAAGTGAGTTTCACGATTTGTTCGTTTGTCGTTCTTATATTTCGCTAGTGGCTTCGGGGTCCCTGACACCCCAGGATAATATCAGGTCCGTATGAAGAGGGCACAAGCAGTATAATTTTTTTCCAGAGTTTATTTAATTTACTTCATTTATGTTTTTATTGCTTCTTTATATAGATTTCGAGTTCAAAAATGTACAGAAGTCGAATGGCCCTCCGACTTCACAATACACTTTCTTTTTTATATGTACAAGAATTTATTTCGCGATGAGCGGATTTCAATATCAAAGTAATAAGCATGAATACTATTAAAAATCAGCGGAAATTATTCGACAACGTACCGACGGTCGGAAGATTAATCAACAAGTTGACAATTTACCAACTATCAGAAACCCAAATGATAAGTTGGCAATTTACCGACTGTTGGAAGAACAATCGATAAGTTCGCAATTTACCGACTCTTGTAGAATTTATCGATAATTCGGCAACTTATCGACTGCTGGAAGAACACCAGCCTGTCGGCAGCTTACCGACTACCGGAATATTCATCGATAGTGGTAAACAATATCTTTACAAACCTGCATTCCTTACATCCCTGCAACCTTTACACCTCTACATTCCTTACATCCCTGCATCCTTTACTTCTCTAAAAATGTTTACATCTCTGCATTCCTTACATCCCTGCAACCCTTATGTCCATGCATGCCATAGATCCCTGCACCACTTACGTCCCTACATCCTTTACACCTCTACATCCCTTATATCCCAACATTCCTTATATTCCTGCATCCCATACATCTCTGCGTCTCTTATGAACCTCATCCGAGGTCGATAAATCGGGAGGAATTTAGTTTCTATTTTCAACACTAGAGGGCGCTATTTCGACATCGAAAATTTAGTTCACATTTTTCCCGCTAGAGGGCCAAAATTTTTGCGAGATATAGTTCCTTTTTCTACCACCAGAGGGCGCTGATCCGACATCGAAAATTTAGTTCACATTTTTCCCGCTAGAGGGCCAAAATTTTTGCGAGATATAGTTCCATTTTCTGCCACCAGAGGGCGCTGACCCGACGTCGAAAATTTAGTTCACATTTTTCCCGCTAGAGGGCCAAAATTTTAGCGAGATATAGTTCCTTTTTCTGCCACCAGAGGGCGCTGATCCGACATCGAAAATTTAGTTCACGTTTTTCCCGCTAGAGGGCCAAAATTTTAGCGAGATATAGTTCCTTTTTCTCCCCCCAGAGGGCGCTGGTTCAACGTCGAAAATTTAGTTCACATTTTTCCCGTTAGAGGGCCCAAATTTTTGCGAGATATAGTTCTTTTTTCTACCGTCAGAGGGCGCTGTTTCGACGTGAAAATACATATTCGGTGTTGGAATATATTTGGATGCAGGGGTGTAAGAGTTGCAGAGATGTAAAGGAGTCATGCATATAAGGGATCCAGAGTAGTAAAGGATGCAGTGATGTTAAGGGTTGCTGCGACGTAAGGAGTGCAGAAATGTAAGGGATGCAGGAATATAAGTGATACATGGATGTAAGGGGTGCGAGGATGTAAGGCATGTAGGGATGTAAAGGATGCTGAAATGTAAGGGGTGTAGAAATATATGGATGAGCCCCGTAAGGCCCTCAAGAAGAAAAAGTATAATAAATAACTGGGAAGGATGAGCCGAGGCCTATGGAGAGACGTAAGGTAACAAATAACAGAATAGTAAGGCGAGGCACACAGGGGGGATAAAATCATTCGTTTCATCCCCCTTATGAGTGTATTCAGTGAACTAAGAAGATAAATACTGCAAATTTAATAAACGCAGAAATTAAAATAAAGGTATATGCATGTTTAAAAGGTAGATCCGCCCCCGTCGGCGGTCGCTGTAAGACTGGCAATGGGAAGGTTTAAAAAGCAGAAGGCGTTCGTTTTCGAGGCATGAATTCAAGACCGCAAAGGCATGTTCAGTTTCGTTGAATCTGTAGTCACTACCTCACTGCAGCAGGAAATCAAAGAAAGAGTAACTTGGGTATCACTCTTCAGGAAATGAATTCAAATGTGTTTAGTATTCGATAAAAAGTACAGCTTGTGAAATGTATATAAATGCTTTATTGTTACAAATAAATAGTTACAGTACAATATATAAATGTTGTTGCTTTAATTTCAATCGATTTTAAACATATTCACAATCCAAAACAAAAGGGTTAAAAGAAGAGATAAATATGTTCCATAAACAAATTTTATTCTTCATCTCCACATGTAGTATGTTTAAGTATTTATTTATATGACATTATGGAAATGTATTAGAGTGTATTAAAACAATTAAAAAAAAAAAAAATTGAACGCCCCCGGGTGGGCTCGAACCACCAACCTTTCGGTTAACAGCCGAACGCGCTAGCCCATTGCGCCACGGAGGCATATGGGAGTCGCTTTCTCTCGAACAGTTAAATGTCGAATAACAAAATTTATTTTTTAAGTATTCTAAATTTATTTAAAATTCCATTTAATAGTATAAAAAACATTAAAAGATTTATAATTATCAACTAGAGGTACGGTATTTAATATAATCAAAGATTACTGAAAATAAATCTATATTTCTTTACACCATCATTGTACATAAACCTAAGAAAAAAGTTCTCTTATTTGATAATAGTAATAAACACCTGCAGACTGCAATTAACTTCCGCCAGATATGCTTTCTAAGATGAAGAGACTAATCGAATGATTTAACGTTGATTCGTTTATAGCTGTGTAGCTGTGTGTAGCGGTGGAAGCATGGAATGATAGGTGCCATTCATGGAACCGCACCGACCGACAATTTGACCCTGAAGATAAGCACCAAGAAAAACTGTTACGCTGGTCGGTGTATGCGCAACCATCAGTGGTACACGTTGCGATTGAACTATCAGGTGTTTGTAATTGTTCGTCAACCTGTAAAAAACAAGAATTATTATTATTTATATGTTACCACTATGTACTGTGTTATAAAAAATTTTTATGTAATAAACGTACTTCATTACGAACGATTCTGGTTGATTCTCTGGTACCATTACACCTCTCTCATGATCCACGACTTTTTGATCTACAGTGACCACTATTCCTGAATCAGTATTAGCGATTTCCATTTCGTGTTCACCAACGAAGATCTTCACGTCCATCTTAGAATTCCTCACCAATTTTGTGGTAACAGCGAAACTCTTTTCTATGTGATTACCGACCAACAGTGTCCATTTGTCAGATGCATCGGATAGAATGGTACCATTATCAAAGGTAAGGAGGACTTTCGGTAGGATGGTGCACATCTCTGTAAAAATCATTAAAATCCTTAACTTAATCCTTTGACTACGGCGGAATTTGAGACGTACCAGCCGTACCATACGATAGGAATTTAGTCGCACCCTACACCGAGAACGGCAAAGTTTTTCATTAGGCATGCATTTTTGAGAAAATAGATTGAAATAATCGAAACACTGAATTCCACTGCATTAAATCAATATAAGAGTTCAAACTAGTTTAACCCATGGGTGCCTACAGTATCACAAACGCAAATTTACTAAGCGCCTTTGGGCACCAACAGTAATCAAAGAGTTAACAATTTCTTACGAAGTAATTAAAAGCTTACTCATTTGATTGTTGAGGTATCTATACAAAGCTGGAGTAGAGAAATGGGTGTTATCCATCAACCCGTTCCAGACTGGATGACCCCATGGTAATTGGGTTAAATGGTGTTGTTCTTGATCGGGTGTGATCAATGCTACATTGAGGAAATCTGACAGGACTGGAAATTCTAAGACCAAGTTTAAGTTTCTAGAATCCAATTGGCGCAAGGAAACGATACTGTGCATGTCTTGAAGCAAATGTAATATGGCTGGTAGTTGTGCCTAAATAACGAACAACAATTATTACCTGTGTAGTTAATGTGAAGAAATAAAAATCGATATCTACCTTCTTGGATGTTATTTCTACCAGATATTTCCTTAAAGTAGAATGCAATATGGCTTCGTGTACGCATTCCCAGGTCTTAGGAACATATGTACCCTCAGGATTTAATAACGGATTAGATATATGTTTCACGCAGCTACCATTTAGTTTATCATTTTGCAATTGTTTCCTCTGCTCTTCGGACTGTTCACCTTTCACAAATATCGTAAGGTCCATATCATCGTGCGCGCATTTGTCGTCTTTTGTTTGTCCCATGCTGAGCTTCATTTTCGTATAAACTTCCTTCTTGAAACTATCAATTTTTAATATGTCTGAGTCGATGACTGGATAATCCGTTTGTCCATCGAAGCATATCTAAAGGAACAGTAGATGTTAGAAAAATATTACATGTAGCACAAAGCGGTTTAACTTCATCCGGACTTCAATTTCAAACCTTGAGAGCGCTCTTCTCTGGTCGTCCGCTGCGAGTGATTACAACTTTCATGGTGTTGTTCACGTGTCCTTGATTCATTCTTATATTAAGATTCGCGTCCCATCGGATTCGTTCGTTGTTACTGGCTGGTTTAGCGTCCATGGTTGCACGAACGTCGATTCTCTGGCTATTTAGAACGTGCATCTTATCAGTCTCGAAATTCTGTACGCTAATTTTGCCAGTTAAATCAACCTGGTTGTACAAGAAGAAACAATTAAGATACAATAATATCTATACCTATGTTCTGTGTAATAATTACTTCTTTAACTTACAGCTGAAGTAGGATAGACGATACTTGGCTCAACTTTAATCAGATTCGAGCAGGTTGCACCCTGTGAGTTGATCATATTGTTTGTCATCAGCTGACGGGTTGCCATGATCGTTTGCATCATCATCGTTTGCACCATCATATTCCTGCACCATAAAGAAGATTATCATTACCCTATCCCTTCATAAAATTTCTTAAAAATACCTACATGGTATTCTTGTTCCAGAATACTTCTCGCCATTCGCTGATGGGTGGAACAGGGGTGAGGTTGTTCTCGCAATGGTATACCACCATGGTGTACTGAAGACCAGTGTCCTGGGAATCCATAATCTTCTTATACGTTTTCTTGTCGACATTGTTGGTAATGACTTCGTATTGATGGCACTCGGGACAACTATTCTTCAGAGCGTTTGTCTCGTCATCGGTGACTGTCACGAAGCTCTTCGCTGAAGTCAACATTCCAGCAATAGAGAATTCTGTGGTGGGCAGCCTTGGCAGTGTTACTTTCACGCTGTTCGTTTCTGGGTAGTAAGAAACGCTCATGTCGATCGGTAGAACAAAATCGAGGGCCGCTGTTTTACGAACAGAGTGCCAAACATCGGCGATGGGGTTGTAGAGGGACATGGCGTGTTCACCGTGCTTCCAGCCTATGTATTTCATTTGCAATTTCAAGTTGACAGCGCTCGATTGTTCCGATAAAACAGCGTGGATCTTTAGGGAATCGATCCAGGGCATTTTCGTGAACAAAACAGTTGGCATTCCGAGATCGGTGGGTACGTGCATCTCGAAATGAGTGTCGTAAGTAACCTGTTCCCAATTGAAGTTATCCAGGTGCTTGTTAACCAGATTCTTCCAGTTTTTCAATTCGTCCAGCATCTTCTTCCAGTCCGCCTTATCGGCATGGAAGGTTGTAACAACGTTGTTGTTCAATGTTAAGAGCATGCATATGTCGATGTTATTGTTAACAGGTACAGTAGTGGATGCCTCGGACAACATTTTCTTCACGTTTTCGTTGGTAATTACGTCTACAGCCTGTCCGAGCACATTTTTCTTTAATTCCCTTATGATTTCGGATAAGCCTCCAACGTGCCAGTGGATCTATGATGAAGAAACGAAGATAAATAATGTACATAGGGTAAAGTAGGGTAAGTTCGCAAATGGGGCAAGAGCATATACCGATTATTTTTGTTATAATTTGAGCGAAATTTTCATAGCTAATATGAGCCAGAGTAGCTGACATTTTATACAATTTCCTATCAAACTGAAAAGGGTATAGCAGGATAAGATGGACAAAAGTGCCCTTGAGCCGATTTTACTTCGAAATGCACCATTCGATAGCTTATCCTAAAAAACCATGGTACACCAATTTTCAACCCTGTACCTCAACCGGGAGGGTAGTTACAGGGTAAGAAAGAAAAAGTAGTTTTTGCCTTATTTCTCCTATTTAACATTATGCAAAAAATCTGCAAAAATTCTAAAATATTCTAGACATGTTTCTTTATGATTGTGAATTTTTTTAGATTTTTCGGTTGCAAATCCTAGGCGTGAAAAATCAAAAATGCAAAAAATATGCCACGAAGTGTGTCCTCAGGAAACATTGGGGCGGATCGACGAAGAGAAACGCGAGACCCATTCAAATTCGTTTTGTCATAGAAAACTATAGAATATTAATTCAAATGTTTAATTTAATTTCGAATTTATGAAGATTCTTTGGATTCGTTATTAGGAAGACGATCTATGACACCTAGGAACGCACAATGGTACATTTGCCACATTTATGTTGATTTAAATTAGTTACCATGACTTTTTGAGTCTATAAAATTCCAGTTTTCTATAAATTTATTATTTATAGAATTTTAATTAATAATTTTGTATAAAAAAAATTTTGAATGTTGAGGGACTCGAACGTACGCCTAAAAAAAAACAGTGGTTACGAAGGAGTACACGTTACCACCTTTACCATGCTAGAGCATTTAAATATATCAATGTCAAACAAAAATTATTGGGTTTACTGTCGTCGAAATATAAAACATGAAACACTGAAACAAAATTTTATATCATTATTAAGAAAGTGATAATTAAAAAACAGCTTCTCAGAATCTGCATAATGAAACTCATAATGAACATTTAAAAATTCTTTGTTTCTTCTTTACAAAGAAAATTAAGGTCCTACTTAATATGAATTAAACAGTAATAACTGTGCAATGTTAAGTATTTACATAGCAGATTGAAAATACACAGGTTTAAATTCCAACTTTACAAAAATCAGTCTGCACTTGCCCCACTTACTTAATTATAATTAAATTAGAATAATGGAATCAAGATACTCACTCCCCATTTGTTAGTAGGTCTGCGACCAAAAATCGAGAACTGCTCGAACGAACCGATTTCCGGAAGTCCGGTCAGTGTGTTGAGAATCAAAGAGGTCTTCCAAGCTTCGCCATAACCGAATTTCTCGTCCACGTAATCGAAATGAAGTTTGGTGGACAGTGGACCAGGCACGTGCCTCGTTCTTGTGAATTTTAAGATTTTCTTAGCCATTTCACGAACTGGCATCAGACAAGGGTCCACCGAGTTGGCGATTCCCTTGATGGTGCTCATATGATAGTTGTACAGGTGTTCGTTCTTCTCCTGCACCATGAACCAGTACATGTTCATGAAACGCGCGGTGTAAGGGAAATGATGCATCAACACATCGTAGGCAACGATTCTGAGCTCAACCGGAAGTTTGACATTGGCAAGGACCGGCCAGAGTAAATTGTGAGCGCGTTCCGGAAGATAGGCGATCACTTTCTTGACAGCGAAAATGGCTTGCAGACGAATTTGATGACCCTGACCGATTTGGACCTCGCCTTTGACGATCGGTTCCAAACGTTTCAAGATATCCTTTAGACAGACGTTCTTCATTGCCATCATGTACACCGTCTTCATCTCCTGCGATTGCTCATCTATGAAATTATCGTTAAACATTCGAAAGGTCCATCAACCTTCTATCGTTTGATGAAATAAGAAATGCAGCTACCTTCGATATGATCCATGAAATCATCCAACCATTTGTTCACAAGTGCATTCTTCACTTCGCCCTCTTCGTGCTTGAAGGTCTTGTGTATCAATGTAGCAAAGCATAGTATGCCAGCTTTTTTAACTTCAAGGGAGTCTGAAAGACGGAGGAGAGGTTCCATCTGCAAAAGCAGATCTTGGGAAGGATGCTTCACGTGCATTGGAAGAACAGCCAGCATCGTGATGGCTTTTTGGGCTGAGATCATGTTCCTACGGATTACGTTTCGCACGAACAGGCAGGAAGCTGTGGTTCCTACATTCGGCACTGTTCCCAGGAAAATGTTTCTATAAAAAAATATTTATGTCAGGACGATATTGGATACATCAGTATCGATATTACGTACTTCATCGTGATTTGTTTGCTATCGGTGGCATCCTGAAATTCACCGAATATTTGCTCAAAGGATTGCAGGTTTAAGAAGCTCATCAGGTGCATGATCCTGTTGATTGTTTGACCGTATTTCCAGTCTGCTTGTTTCTCTTTAATCTGATTCTCTTTTAAATAATCGGCAGCTTCGTCCAACGTCTTTTTGACTTTGGGAACAATTTGGTCCGGGTTCACGACGTGTCTACCATGAGTCACATCTATGTCAGCTCCTGGGACGTACTCTGACTTGGGTTCAGAGTAGGTGAAATTATGAATAATTGAAGCTTCGTTTAAATTATCTGACGATAACTGAACGTTGCTGTCCGGAACAACATCCTCAAGGATGAACGTTTGACTGCAAGAAACAAGTGCTTATTTAAATATAAGATAATTACACATCGAATGGTTGCAAACTTGAAACCCTTCTATTACTTTGACATAATGTAATGACCCTCGGAGTGGGACTGGAACGGTATGTAGTGAATGCTTCCATGAGCAATTAATTTTTTAATGAGGATCGCGTTGCCTTGGTTCTCGATTTCGAAGTCTCGTTTGCTGACACTGGTCGTGCCATTCTTTATGAAACAAAATAATTATTTTAACGTTAGCACAAGTAATTTGTCGCAAAACAATATTATATATACCTCCTCTGGTAAATGGCATTTCTCCGTCTCGACATGGCTATGCTTAAGATGAACGAAATGCGTGCAGTTCTCCGGTTCGTGCATCTTCGTGACCATGAAGACATTTTGCGCTGTGTCCTCCTCGTATTTCGGATGCACGTTGTAAGCTACCTGACAGCTGCCATGAATGGTGTTCTAGTGGTAACAACCAAAGAGAACATTAACCAAAATCCAAGGATGTTCCCATCAGTCGTTACCTACCTCCTTACTGATGAAACTGTGCGGTACCATCGGGCTGGTCATTTGGATGTTGACCAGATCCAACTGCATAGCGGATGCAATGGCCTTTTTAATGTTCACCGACCATGTGCTCTCGTTATCCTTCACTTTTATACCTTGCAGCTGAAAATCATTTATATAAAAATTATCTTTCTAATTCATTCTCAAGACGACTTTTGACTTTAAGGTACTTACGCGTGCGTTTTCGTCATAGACGATCATGAAAGGATTCTGGATATCTTTAGCAGCATCTGGAATGGGTGAAACACTGCTGACAGGGTCGAAGTGCATCACGCGTCCATTGTACAGGCCATGCTTCACATCGGTCATGGCGACGAGGTAAGCGTTCCTCAGGGTTGGATCATTGCTGTGCTTCACTTTAAGACGACACTCGATGCCGAATTGAGACGCGGAATCAGCCGGTTGCAAGGCACCCGCCTTCATGTCGGCATTGTACTTGTACACCACCGCTTTTCCACGAGGAAAATGGGCTGGAATAATTATTTAATGAAGTTGCTGTCACAACAGCTCTTTTGGGATCATCTAATGTTTTATTTATCCAATTACCTGGCACGGCGGCGACAGCCGCCGCTATAATTCCCAATAGCACTGAAAAATAAGAGATTCTTTATCGTATTGTACATTTTGGATTTGAATTATAATTTTTCGTTTTGAGAATGGAAGAAAGGCGAGGCTCGATTTCCTTTCCTCTTGCCACTTACCGATTAGGGTATTCATCATGTAACCCCTTGAAGACAGACTGGTAGCTGTACGGACCAGCATCCTCCTTTTATAAGGCGAGCAACCGGGTAAATACCGGTAGAAGAAGAAAGTGCAAGTGTAACGATAACCCCTCACCAAAGGGTGTTATGAACTGGCTGTACCGGTGTAATCAATGCAAAAGATAACCCGTTCGACCATCGTTGCAAACTTACTTTTACTACGTGAATGGAATATAAAAATACCTGACAACTTGCACTTCTCTCATCTTTTTTATAATAGCTGATAATTCGAAAGATTCGAAAGCATAATCGTGTTCTGTTCACTACGTTTTCATTCTTTTCCTCTTCGCTAATAAATTTAACAGCAGCGTACCGAATTTGCATAAAATACCGAGCGAAAGTGCACAGTAGTTTCAATGATGTTACAATGAGAAATAGATAAACAAGAGTATTATAACAAACGGTTCTGCGTATGAACTTTACTGCAATTCTCATTAAAATAATCTTCTTTTCGATAACACTGCAGTCCGATCAATTGTTCTATCGTTCGATCATGACCTTACAATATAATCAATGATAAGTCGGCTTTATTATTAATTTCTCTACAATAAAAAAGTGTGACAGAGTGATTGGAAACTTTCCTCGCGATTGCTTTTGTACATATAAATTATTGTGTTGCAAGCATTGTTGATTAACGGGTTTAATTAACTTTATCGTAAACGTTCAGAAAAAGCAACGAATCGGGAACGATTGCATGTTTACCATCATTCGCAACGATCAATGTTAATGTACAAACGCATGATACAACGATAACATTATTCAACATAAACAAATTAAAGTTATTTATATATTACCTACATCCCATTCGCGTGCACGTCCATTAAAATTCGATGAAATCGAATTTTTTATTTTCACCGATAAAGGTAGAATTAAGTAAATGTTATAAATTATTGCATCATTTTGTAAAATTGATAAACATATGAATATTTATAAGTCAAGGTTTACTGATTATACAAAAGTTAATTAATCGTCCAGCTGTATTTTCATTCAATAATTTAAAACAATAAGCTCGTTCTATAAGTTAAATTAGAATACAAAATGAGGAAATTACGTAGATACAATAATAAACATTGTATGTATATTTAGATTATTAAACTGAAAACAGGGTCCATCGACTATCATCCGAATATGTTTTTAACGTCAATTTGATAATGACAAGAATATTTGTTAGGTCAAGATGCTGACCGTGTTTTTCAGTGATACTTAATCATTTATTAAATAAAATACACAGTAATTACTATAAATATTTATAGAAATAAATTAATACTGTTTCCCCTGGAACATCATTGGGTATTTTTCATAAAATATTCTTTTAATTTTTCTAGCGCTTTGCTTCGATGAGAAATTTGATTCTTCACTTCTTTTGGTAATTCTGCATAAGTTTTATCGCCGTCCAGGGGTTGGAAACAGGGGTCCCAACCAAAGTCTCGTGGTCCTCGAGGACTCACGATGGTTCCTTGAGTTCGACCCTGAAACAGTATTACCGGATCTTCCGGTTCTCCATTGCAATAAGCGAAGGTGCAAACCGCCTCCGCTGATTTATCTTCCCAACCGTGTAACATTTGGTAAAGACCTTCTGGTCCTAGTTTTTCTAAGAACCATTTGATGTAAGGTCCAGGCAAACCTTTCATCGAATTAAAACACAAACATGTGTCTTCAATGATTACTGGGCCTTTTATTAAATTAGCTGCTGCTTTACATTTGTTTCGACAAATATCATCGATTTCTCCCTGATATTCTGGAAGATCAATCTTTTGGCTGGTGATTTCTCGTGGAAAATTCTTCCCCAAGATGGCCACGAATTCCTCCAGCTTCTTTGCGTTTCCGGTTACAAACACTATTGGTTTCGACATACTATAAAAAAATTTTATTATATTATTAGAAAATTATTGAATGTAAATTTGAGAATTCTTTAAGAATTTAAAGAAAAAAGAATATCATTTTCTTTGTAATGTAAGTTGGCAAACCTGCTATAGGCAGCAGTGTGTAAAGAACATGGAAGATGTTGATGTTTTCTCAAATAAAATCAATTAAATTAATCTTAAAAAATGTATATACACCCATTTTATTCTTAACAGCGCTGTATTTACCAGAACTGATTGGAAAACTGCAATGATCTTAATCAAAAATACCTTTCAATGATTTCAGCAAGCGGTAGGGTCACTTGCGGAACAACGTGTTTACTCGGCAGTGCTGCAAACTTTAAGTTCCTATCCAACTTGGAAGGAAAATTATTTGCATAATTGTTTAAATGAAACTTAAGTCTTTATCTTTTTAATATCACTCTTCAAAATATAGAAATAAGGGAAGGGATTTCATGATGATCATGCAGAAGAATATGTTAGACTTTAAGTCCGTTGGAAAAATATTCTAACAATTATACTATAATTTATTAAGCTTTGTAGATATCATTATCAACTTTTGCTTCTTTTTTTAAAATAAATATATGATTTATAAATTTTTGCATTATTGTTTACTTTCATACGTTTTAAAGGGTCTTTTATGAATGACTATGGAATGACTCGGATGTTGTTTCTGCTGCAGCTACGTTCATTGGGGAGAGTTAAAGAATCTGCTCAAAAATGCCGAGTCAAGAGGTTGTAACTACGAAAGTAGTGGTTCACCCTTTGGTTTTACTAAGCGTGGTGGACCATTTTAATCGCATGGGAAAAATTGGTAATCAAAAAAGAGTTGTAGGTGTTCTTTTGGGATGCTGGAGAGCCAAAGGTGTCCTAGACGTGTCAAACAGTTTTGCAGGTTAGAATCACTATGCCACTTTCTATCGCTTCCTTTTCAAATTACTGTACTTTCCAGTACGAAATTCTTGAATTAAATAAAAACTTTAATTTAATCATTATTATTTCTTGTTTACAGTGCCCTTTGATGAGGATGATAAGGATAAAAGTGTGTGGTTTCTTGATCATGATTACCTAGAAAATATGTATGGAATGTTTAAAAAGGTTAATGGTAAGCACTACTGATCCTGATAAACTGAATTAAATAAATGAAACTTGGTCTTAACATTTGATCTCATTTTAGCCCGTGAGAAAGTGGTAGGATGGTATCATACTGGACCTAAACTACATCAAAATGATGTTGCAATTAATGAACTCATTAGGAGATATTGTCCTAACTCAGTTTTGGTCATCATTGATGCCAAACCTAAGGACCTTGGTCTTCCAACAGAAGCATATCAAGCTGTTGAAGAAGTTCATGATGTAAGAATCATGGTTTGCTTAACATTCTATTAATTTTTGGATCCTGTATTATAATCATCATGGTATTGTTTATAGGATGGTTCACCAACATCAAAAACTTTTGAGCATATCCCTAGTGAAATTGGTGCGGAGGAAGCAGAGGAAGTAGGTGTAGAACATTTACTAAGGGATATTAAGGATACCACTGTTGGTACTTTAAGTCAGAGAATTACAAACCAGTTACTTGGTTTGAAAGGTCTACACGAACAAATTAGGGAAATTAGAGATTATTTGCTTCAAGTCGGTAGTGGTAAATTGCCCATAAATCATCAAATTGTATATCAACTTCAGGACATTTTTAACTTACTACCTGATATGACACAATCTAGTTTTGTCGATTCGCTGTACGTGAAAACAAACGATCAAATGTTAGTCGTATATCTCGCGGCGCTCGTTAGATCAATAGTGGCTTTACATAATTTGATTAATAATAAATTAACAAACCGTGATGCTGAAAAAAAGGAAACAGATAAGAAAGAGACGAAAAAAGATGAGAAGAAAGAAGAGGAGAAAAAGGATGAGAAAGAAAAGGCAAAAGCTAAAAGTCAGTGAATAAAGTGAAATTAAGACTTATTTGTGTGATTGAGACTGTTAATCTTGCAAAAGTTCACGAAACTTATAAAGTTTGTTTATACATGTACAAATGTATTTTGTGCTATCAGATGGTCTGCATTTCAAGTTAACACCAAAAAAAAAAAAAAATAAACACTGATAATCTTATTCTCAATGTGTTCCAACACAGTAAGAATTTAAAAAGGGTACATTAGATGAAGGGTATGATAGTGGGAATGCAGTTACAATATTTCCATATATAAAGATCTAGTAAACACATTGCACAATTATCACAAATTTTAGTGTAAAGTAATTTTTACATGGCATAACACAGTAATTGTGTTTACTGATAATCGTTCCCTCCTATCGTTAGGAATGAGCAACTGCTTCAAACTACCCGTAACTTTTATATAATGTATCGTCATCGATAATAATTTGGTGATTTTTATCTAAATCAAGCATTGTTCAGTAATCATTCACGGTTCACTTGAATGTATTAAAATTTTCTAAAGAACATCGAGGATACCACATAAGATTCTCAATAACGTATACATTTTTAGATATTACAGACATATTTTCTAAAGAACTTAAGCTTTCATAAATAATACACTACGTTATTAATAAAAACAACAAAAAACTCGATCATTGAATTCATGATTTTATTTATTTTTCATTGCCACACGAAGGATCTATGAAAATGGAAATTAATTGCTCCTTATTGATCGTGCATTTCTTTGTAATTTACGGATATTTGGGTGCAGTGGGAGCTTTTTTTAGTTAAGGGGAAGTTTAAGATGAGAAATCAATCGCCATTTGCTTTTGGTTTGGGGAGAATTTAGAAAAAACCCTAGGAGAGACGAGAAGAGCCTAATCTACGACCTCTTGTCTTCACACACGGAAAGGCAAATGATGAATTACTTCTTCTTCTGCACTTCTGTTTAACTAAAAATATCCTAAATTGCACATTAATTTGCAAACTTGTTCTAATCAATAGATCACTTGACTCATCTTCCATGAAGTACTTACAGAATGCCTTAGTTCTTCTTTCTAAAAAATGAATGGAGTAAGAAGAATTTAAGTATTACTTATTTAATAAATTAATTATTGAAAACACTTAATCATCCATGTTTTTTCTTTTATACTACAGTGTACAAAATAAGACACATTTGACCCAATAAAGTCCATCGACGCGCACTTGTCTTCGCACCTTCGCTGTAAGCAATACCTACAAAGGGTTCTAAATTAGTGTCATTGTAATGCTGAAAGTACCAATTGAACGAATTGTCTTCGATGACTTCTGCATTTTCGTTCGAAGATCCGTCTTTCTCGAAGTTCTTCTCTTCGTCTTTCACGTTTCGTTGAACAGCTTCAGCCACGGACTTCTGTTTCTCGTCTTCAGCAGAGAGACCGATACGTGGCGAAGGAACCTTCGTGATCGTTGGCTTACCTAATGGACGCAAATTTGGTACTGAAGAAGGTACCTGACCTCCTGGAACCAGAAACGCTGAAAGAGCTGATGCTTCTGTTTCTCGGGGCAATTGAGACGTCGAAGATTTTTTTTTATTCTCTAAGAAGGATGAATGAAAAGGTGATCGTTCTGTTACAACGCTACTAGAATCATCTGTATTTATACCCATGGATTCGTTTCGAGGATCTATGGTGGAAGTTTCTTGCAATTCAACTGCCTCGGAATCCCAAAACCTATTTTTCTCATTTTTCATCACATTCGTGGATGATTCTATAACCAAATCATCTTTCGTAGTCTCCAGCATGGTTCCAGGGGTGGTCCACACTATTCTACTCGCGACTTCTTGAGACTTCTCTTCCACTTTAATTGATTTTTTATTCGCCTCCGAAGGGTCATCATCATGAATCTCTAAAGACACTGTTGTTTCGTTTGCTTCTTGAGGAGATTCATCAGCTGCAGTGCTGGAATCTAACGTTCTCGTTGAATTTATGGAAGAAGTACTGTGGAAGAAAATTAAACCATAGTTACATGCCTTATAATCTCTAAAGTCATTTTCCATTCATTTACCTGCTTTTTTTAACTCCAGACATTTGCCATCGAGAATCAGGCTGATTAGCTGCCACCGTGGACAGTTCTTCCCTCTCTTTAATTTCCACCTTGGGTCTGTTTGTCCTAGGATGAGTCCTTTCAACCTTCACCACAGTACCATTTCCATTTTTCCATCGCTTCCGTTCCTCCTGCGTGATATTAGAATTCTGACCTCTCAAAGTTTCATTTTTATTAACCTGCCTTTCGTAAGTTAATCTTGGATCAGGGATCGGCACGAAACCACCCTGTCCTCGAGGCAGAGGAACAAAACCACCCCTATGGATCTCTGGTTCCGTGGGTGGAAACGTTCTATACCGTCCTCTTCCGGGTCTTTCGGAATACTTCCTCTCCGATTTCCTCCCCGAATTTCCCCAAAGATTAAAATTCAAACTAGGCAAAGGCACACCGAAGAAGGTGAAACCGGAACTACTAGGGGAAGGAGGCATTAGAGGGTTCTTTTTTATCGGAATGGTACCGTTCGTTTGTAACTGAACTTTCTCTGTTGTTTGGGTCATTTGTACAATTTCTGGTGGTATAGTAATCGCGGTTTGCGTGGACGTTGATATATTCATCGTTTCTTCAGGATACTCATCGAGGTAATCAAAATCCTGAGGGTTGGGAGGATTCTCCACGGATGGCTCTTTTAGGTTCAAGCGAAGTGGTACCATTTCTGTTGCTCCATATACTGAGAATGTTTTTATTAATTATTTGAAGTATTAAAAATGTACTGATCGAAGGTTTCTTTACTTACTGGAAGAAGAGACAGGGTAAGGTGCAGAATCGATCAGCTCAGCCTCGCAGCCAGGGTGAATCGGATCGATCTGTCGTTCTCTTTGACAATCCTGACGAGACAATCGAATTTCTTTGAACAAAGATCCATCGGCACACCTTGGACCCTCGGAGGATGCCTGCTGCAGCCACCCTCGCAACCATAACATTCCGCAAGAGCACGAAAGTGGATTTCCTTTTTGCGAATAGAGTCAAAATTAATTAACTGACAAGGGGAACTACCCATGTGTTACACTCACTTAGAACGCGCCTATTCTGGAGAGCAAAATCCACTTTGGGGGGCAGGCGGGTAATTATTTAAAAGATATTAACAATTACAGTTAGCTACTTCTTACATTCTGAGATATAACAAACATACACATACAACTCGCAAAGAGATCCACAGTTCAAATCCTTGATTCTCCTTTGAATAACTATTGCAAAAAGAAAAAAAAAAAAAAAAAACGGGAATCCAGGATTTGAACCGAGGACCTTTAGATTATAAGTCATGTACTTAACCACGGAGCCGATCCGTGACTTGCAATTTCAAGGTCCTTGATTCAAATCCTTGGTTCCCAAATAAATTTTTTTTTCATGACAATTTTGATGTAATAGTTATTGAAAGAGAGACAAATTATCATTAAAAAAAAAAAGAAATGTTAAGAATCAAGGATTTAAACCGTGGATCTCTAGATTGCGAGTTGTATGTGTGAGTCTGTCATACTTCACAATGTAAGTAATAACTAACTTTAATTATTAATATTTTTTAAACAATTAGTCGTCTGCCTACAAAACGGAGTATAGGCGTGTTCAGCTCGACCAGCTTTACAAGCTGACAAAGTTTCATTAATAAGTGAGTGTAACACTTGGGTAGTTCTCCTTATGAGAAAAATTAAGAAATGTTTCTTTTCTCCTGTTTGAAATTTTCTAAAAGAAAGTGAAATTGATTACCATCGATGTCCAAGACAGCGATGTTCGATCGCAATCTTTTGAACGCCGTTTCCGATACGGAAGCCATTCGATTGCTCCTCAAACTGAGAACCCGAAGTCTTGGCATCTGATCGAAAGGCGAGCCTTGAATGGCGCAGATCCGATTGTTGTCCATCTGGGATAAAAACGAGGGAAACCTATATGTAAAACGATCCGCTATCTTTTTAATTAACGATGCAGCTATACGAATAATTGCTCTGCTAGCATAACGAGTGGCCTCGCACCACGGTTCGTGGAGAAGTTTCACTCTCGACGAGAAAGTATTCCTCGTTATTACTAAATACCATCCCCCCCACCGCGGTCTGTTTCATTTTTTCGTTCCACGTTCGCGTTTAATGCGATCATTACGAAAAACAGACTTTTTATCGCGATTCTTCCATTCAGTTTCATTTTCAAAAATAAAATAATAGAATATCCATCAATCAAAATTTCGATTTCATTTACTTAACAACTCATTTAGCAATTATTTTACTTACTTTCAATTCAACCAACCACTCCATGGATGCCAAACTATTACTGGACACCCTGGACAGTCTATTGTTGCTCAAATCCAGAACCTCCAAGGAACGCAAGCTCTCGAGTCCCACGTAATCCAACGCTGGCAAGTGATTATGACTCAGATTCAGGAAGAGAAGGTGAGGCACGTTAATGAATGCGTTGCTCGCAATTTCCTGGATCCGATTTTCCTGAATTTCCGCGCTTTGAAGTAATGGTAGCTCGGTGAAAGCCCCGCTAGGAATTATCTGTACATTTCCAAGAATCATACACGTTTGATCATTTAGAAAATAAAAACTAACGAATATAACTACCTGTAATCGGTTCTTTCCGAGTCGAATGGCTTGAAGTTCCGGTAGAGCTCTGATAGCATTCCTCTCGATGATTCTCAAGTCGTTATTCTCCAGATCGATCAGCGTTAATCGTGGCAAACCATCGAACGCACCCTCCCGTAGCTCGCGGATACGATTCCTCACGAGTTTCAGCTCGAGCAAGGCCGACAAGCTGCTCAGCGTTTCCGGCGACAGGATGTTCAGCTTGTTGAAGCTCAGGTCTAGTACCTGAAGAGCTGTTAAGCCGTGCAACGATCCGGGTAACTCGGTCAAAGTGTTGTGCGACGCGTACAGTTCACGAAGGTCCCTGCAATTAACGTCGTTTCCTACATTTGACAACGCGTCGTTAACAAAAACAATGATTTCCGATCTGTCGTAATCGTGTCACCTAAAGAGATCGATAAACCTGGTACCCTTAATTCTCTGCAAAGCGACATTTAAACGACGAACATTTTATTTTCAGTTTTTGTAAATTTTCACAAAATCACCGACACGCCAGAATGGTAGAAGGGGACATTCAACGCGAGCCAGGCACTTTCTAGGTACCATTTTCTGGTGATGCAATCGAATAACCACGAGTGAAACTTCTTTTCTACTTGCGTGCTAATGTACGAAAAAGAGCTCTTCTTAAACTTTCAAAACAATATATTCAACGAATATTCCTTACCTGGTGTTGGAAAAGGTCACGTGAGGTATCTGGGCAAGATTATTCCTACTAAGATCCAGCCTCTGCAATCTAACGTTTTCCTGAAAGATATCCGGTCGGAGAACCTCCAAACGATTGCCCCGCAGACTTAAATCCATCAAGGACCTAAGTGGTTTGAAGCTTCTTCCATGAATAGTCACCAGTCTGTTGTACCTCAGATCCAATTGTTCCAATCTGGACAATCCATCGAACGCTCCATCCTCCAGAATTCGCAGAGAGTTATAACCAAAGTTCAATTTCCTCAGATTTGGTAAATCGGCCAGGCTACCCGGTGGTATCCTCTCGATTCCATTCGCGCTGAGATCCAACGATCTTAGAACAGGTAGATCAAGATCTTGAGAGGATAGAGCTGGTAGAACTACTATACGATTCATAGGCATGTACAAGTGTTCTATGTTTCCTGGTAGACCAGGGACTATCTCCAGCATTCGGTTCCAACCGACGTCCAACTCGTAGAGATTGTTCAAATGATGGAATGTTAGGGGATGAAGAACGGAGAGCGCGTTTCCGGAGAGGTTCACGTGTTCCAGGGCTGGAGTAGCCAGGAAGGAATCAGGTTCTATGAGACCAACCGCGTTTCCGCTTAGATCTAAGCGTCTCAGACTTGGGAGGTTGGCTAAGAGACGAGGTTCTACGTGGCGGAAGTAATTCTCTGATAGATCCAGGCCCTGGAATGGCAAAACCGAAAGGGTGAAACTGGGGGCCTTTTCCCTAAAAAAGCATCGGAGTACTTACTTTCAATGCTGGCAAATTCCAGAACGGCGCCTCCAATAAATTCGACAAAGAATTATTCTTTAATCTAAGTTCCCTAAGAGCGGGCATCGCGGTGAAGGTCTCCCTCTGCAGAAAGGCTACTCTGTTGTGATCAAGGTGAAGCCTCTCCAAAGTGAGATGACCCCTCAGCGCTCCGAATGGTATCTCCTCGATTTGATTGTAACTAACGTCGAGGAATTTCAACCTGGGCAGAGCTTCCATTATGGATCTCAGCTCAGCCACGTGACTGAGGTCGTTGTTAATCAACCACATCTCCTCCAGGCTGTTTCCAGGTCGGCGAGGGAAAAATTCCGGATGCACGCGGTGTATTAGATTGTGATTAAGATCCAGGGTCTTCAAGGCTGGCATTCTTTGAAACGCTCCGGCGAACACCTCGGTGATATGATTCCTCGACAAATAGATACGAGTCAGGACCGGTAGATCCATGAAGGCTCCTTCGTTCAGGCGATTGATACGATTTCGATCGAGCCGTATCACCGAAAGCGAAGGCAGGTCCACGCAGGCTCGACCGATCATTCCAGCATCCACTATCGAGTTCCCGACCACAGAAATTTCCTTCAGTTCCGGTAGATCTATGAACGCTCGAGGATGAACCCAATGGACACCGCAGTCGGTGATATTAATCAATTCTAACCGAGGTAGCGCCCTGAAGAGACCTGCCTCCAGACGTATCAGACGTGGACTGCCAAACACATGAAGCTGTTCCAAACCGGGCAAATCCCGAAAATTTCTTGGCGCCAACTCCAGCAAAGCTGGGGAATTAATCTGCAGGTAACGAAGTTTCGGAAGCCCAGAGAATTTGGGCAGTTTCTTCATCACTCTGCTCTGCAAGGTAACAGCCTCGAGACCTTGAAGATTCTCCAGACTGTCTATCGGCAGGGAGCGTAAATCTGGTTCCACGATGAATAATTCTAACAGGGAATCGTGGAGACCTTCTAACCATCCGGGGGACACCCTTTCCAGACGATTATTCCGGAGCATCAGACGAAGAACGCGCAAAGTGGCGAAGACTTTGCCAGGTAGACTAGGTAGATTATTGTTCTCCAGGATCAATTCGTCTACAGGTCGATCCAGATAATGGCTAACTGCTTTTAAACCTTCGAGGACTTTTGGTAACTCGCTATGACTGCACCTAATAGAAGAGACTAGAAATCAGTGTTTGAGATCTTTGACTTTTTTTTGAAATTCGAGACACTTGCCATATTTGAATCTCCATGTCACGAGTGGAACATCTGCAAGGTAGAATCCTCTCCTGAGCAGGACAACCGTACTCTGAACTAAGCTGGCCGCTGGTACCGATCGGAAACAGTACCAGAAACCAGCTGGTCAAGAGGAGGCCTCCAACCCCCACTGATTCAACCATCGCGCATTTGGACCTTGGTCTAAGACCTCGAACACCTGTTCCCCATTTTCTGCAACAATTATTTCATCTACAAATTACACGTACGAGATGTGTTTCAATTTGTAAAGCATGTGTCAGTTTAATTATGAACGTGGGTATTAGATGTTGAAGTCCTTGCATATTATGGTGTTTCTTTGAGTAAACCATGAAGACACGTGTATCTATGTGATGGTTACACGTCACGGTCGTAGACGACAAAATTAATGCTTCGTACCGTAAGCTAAAGACCGCTAGGACAATTTTCCCCGTAATAATTACCGTCGCCTGAGGCTCCGAGGCTCGATGAAAGCTTCATGTATTAATTTCAAGTATGAATTGTTGATTCATTTTGAAATTTTAAACATTCTAAATATTGAAACACGAAGTATCAGACGAAGCCAAGTGAAATGAATCAGCGAAGAAGAGGAAAGTCTTTTTACTCTATCAGATAGAACGAAAACAAAGGTGTTCCTCGGAGGATGGTGTCACGGGTGACCACGTGTGTTTCGTAACCCATCTTCCGTAAGTAAGAACAATCGGACTGGCCTGGAAATTCAGTCGAACATAAAGAATGTCGATATCCTGTAATCGTTAATGAAAGAAATTTAATAGAATCTTACGCGTGTATTGCTCTAAAGTGTACACGTTTAAGGGGACGCATCGAAATCAAGGAATACAGGTCGCTGCACTCACGTGACTGCATTTGCATCGCGTTGAACCAGTTTGCTCGATTGTTAGCAAATCGTTCAGTGAACTTTCAAATTGGCCTATTCGATTCTGTTCGAAATCAAAACGGATCTTTGCGTGATTCCAGGCAATTCTATAAAAGGATCGACATAATCGTTTGTCCGTGCACATTTGTTAACTGCAGTTTTCACAATGTGCATAGGTGCAGCGATGTTTCTATTGTGTCCACCGTGATCGAAACACCGTCGATCGTGTTTAATTTCAATAAAAAACGATACACGATACTTTTCTATAAAATCTACCCGGAATTTAATTACACGAAATTATGCAACTATGATCGTATTTGCATTTGGGTTGGAAAGTAACACCTTCACTTCTATAAAATTTTATAAAACTTGGAATTCTGTTTCACCAAATTGGAAAAATGTGTTGCAATATTGTTAGATTATTTTTCCATCCACCCTTGATGAGTAAAAGGGTTGACGATACTTTTTTGTATAACAAAGTCACCAATACCTTCATGTGTTTTATGCCTCGTTGACAGTCTCCACTTAGTCTTGGATCAAAATGAAACACCACAATGTTTGTTCACGAAAATCGAGCAACAATTCGTCACGCTAAGAATGTTGGTCGAAGGAAACGATAAAGAGACCGTGTTCTCGTTTACGAGCACTCACTGGCTAAATACACGAAGAAGTTTTATGGCAAAGCGTGCCGATGCGCAAAGTCGCGAGGGAAGAAGATGACTGTGGCGTGGGTGATGGCGAGCGGGACGAAAAAAGGATTGCGAAGTGCTGTGTCCAACCACCGTGAACACACGCTTCCAGGAAATTCTTCCCTTTCCACCGAATCTATCCGTTCAAATAAATCGGCGACGATGACAGATTTTTAACTCGAGAAATTCTTTTGGAACGCAAAATTTCTAGAAAAGAAGATTTTGCATATATTAACCCTGGAATGGCGAGGGTTGAAGAACTCGTGGTATTTTTTTCGACTACTCTAATTCGAGATCCTTTGATCTTAAATCCTGGAAAATTCTGAGTGAAATTAGTATTTCTAAGAATCAAAAGAAATGTTGGGAAACTATCAAGAATTGCAGGGCAAATATTTAACTATGAGCCTAGACGAGGAATAAAAATCTAATTTTGAAATCTATCGGTTCAAAAGTAGTAAGTTCAATGCGATAAAATATTTTAATTGGCTTCCAAAAGAGCTAAAAAACCTTAAAGATTAGCCAAAGACATATTAAAATAAATTAAGTGAATGGATAAGAAACAGCAATTTATGTTAAATGAATATGGACAACATTGTTTAATTAAGAGTCTATGTAAATGTTGGAATTTTTGAATACAGTTTACTCTAATATGTTGTATTAAACACACACAGTGTAACAATCAAAATCTTGGTTTTTAAGTATAAAATTAGTATGTACATTACCAGACCTATGTGCAGGTGCATTTACCTCTATAGGATGAAAGTTATGTAACATAGGTATGTAACATTTTTGGTATAATAAATAAAATTAAATTAAAAAAACGGAGTATAATAATTGCACCCTCTACAATATAAAATATTTTCACTTTGGAATCAAATTTCACCTGCACCACTGTTCTTCGACTTACATCGATGATGATGATTTCCATCATTTTTCCAAGAACGTGCAGTTAAATATGTTCCAGTCCAGATGACACGAGTTCCGTCTCTCGTTATCCGCTTTTTTCGAGATGCAGAAAACGCGCATTAGACAACGAACGGTACTAACAAAATGCCAACTTGTTACACCTCGGAAAGGCTAATTAAACCACGAAGAAAAAAAAGAAGAAAACTCGTGTAATCGTCGCAAGATAATGAACCAACAAAGAGGAAAATTTTTAATCTTTAATTTATACATCAGCTTGTGTTATTTGGATCTTGTTGTTTCTCATAGCCAAGGCAAAATGTCAATAACAGGTTTCATAGTCAGGGCAAAGTACTGGATTAAAGATAAAAAAAAAAGTTTTGTCAATTAATATTCATACCCAAAAGGTTCTACAAATTTTGCATACACGTTTAATCATATGAATAATAAATGTCACCTTTCTCTACAAAAATAGTATCCAAATAACGGTATAAAAACGGGCGATTCAATCCATTGAAACAATCTAATACGTAACAATATTTGATATTACACCACACAGTGAAACAGGTTTTGAGTGTCTGTGATAGCGATGCAAACGAATAGAAATTTTCTCCGAAATTAAAATACCATCGCATGGATCTACACGTGTTCGTTACAGACAGATTCATCATTAAGTTGAAGGTCCTGCATTTATTCCCGCACATACACAAGACGGAGAGGAAATCTGTGTTGTAACTGGTTTTCAGAATCATTCTATACCACCATACTATAATATCCTAGAATAATGTCAGGCTATACCAGTTGTTTATCGACGCTGTGGCGTGAAAGGTTCGATTGATTTTTCTATTGATCCACGACAAACGATCGCGATCTTTCTCTGCAATATTTCCATTCGAAAATTTCGATAATTCAATTTTAAATAATCGAAAAAGAAAATCGTTTTTCCATCTAATTAAAGATGTGGTGTAAAAATATTCCTCAAATTTCGCGACGATGTTCGAGAAGCATTTTAAAAAATTACTATACGACGAACGAACGTTCTTGCCGGGAAACGACGGAAAATAGCGAGAGATCACCGAGGATACTTATCACGGGTAAGCGCATACACTTTCGAAAAATTAGATAGAATTTCTTTTTTTGAAACTACTTACTTCTGTTTTCTCAAACTATTATCCTATTAACGATAAATAAACACGATCTTTTCCTAGTTACTTAACATGGAAATGTAATATTCATTATTTTCCTGGCTTAACTAAAAAACATACCTGTGATTATTCAATGAATAATTATCAGTTATTTAATCATCAATAGCACGTGTTTATATTGTAATGTTCTTCTTGCAAGGTGGTCTTGGACAATTGGGTACCGAGTGCGCGAAACTCCTTCGAAAAAACTATGGAAACGAAAATGTGATACTTTCTGATATAATTAAACCGACCGAAGAAAGTCCATCCAATGGACCTTTCATTTTTGCGGATATTCTTGATTTCAAGGGTCTCCAAAAAATCGTGGTCAATTATAGAATCGATTGGCTGATCCACTTCAGTGCTCTCCTTAGTGCTGTTGGTGAACAGAACGTTCCTCTTGCTGTGAGAGTCAACATAGAAGGTAAAATAGATTTTAATTAATTAATTAACACGTTGATTATCATAGCGGATCATCCGAGTAAATTTTTAAATTTTCTTTCTGAAATCACTCTCGAGTGAAACGGAGTATTCTGACGAGTGAATTTGTCGTTAAAATAATTACATCTTTACCGCCAGTCATGAAAGAAAGTGCGTTAGAGAAAGTGGCTTTCAGTTACCTTCGAAGAAAATGTTACAGTGAAGATAGTATACAATGTAATTTAAGTAATTTTTTCATCAGGGATGCATAACGTTATTGAATTGGCAAGACAGTATAAATTGAGAATATTTATCCCATCGACGATTGGAGCATTTGGTCCAGATTCACCAAGGAATCCCACCCCGAATGTGACCATTCAACGACCACGAACAATTTATGGTGTTAGTAAAGTACACGCTGAACTGTTAGGCGAATACTATCATCACAGATTCGGTCTTGATTTCCGGTGTCTCCGATTTCCGGGGGTAATTAGCAACGACCCACCGGGTGGTGGTACCACAGGTATTCTATCACGATTCTTTAGTGAAATTTTACATCTTCTTGCATTGAAAAATGGAGGTCGTTCCATTGATGATTAGAATAACTGCATAATACCATCGTTCTTCAAGGACAATAGTATTAGTAAATTGTTGATCACGAGCCGTGAGATCGTTTCTTGCGTTTCCCTTAACTCCTGATCCGTAAATCTTCGAGTAACAGACTGGACAATAAAATAAAAGTTGTATTAACATTCTAATTGTATTTTCCTCTCCAGATTACGCAGTCGCTGTTTTCCACGAAGGTTTGCTTAATAAGAAATACGAGTGTTATTTGGAACCTTACACGAGATTGCCGATGATATACATAGAGGACTGTCTATCTGCGCTTTTTCAGTTTTTAAACGCACCAGACGAACAATTGCAGCGAAGAGTTTATAATGTCACTGCGATGAGCTTCACTCCTGAAGAATTGTTCAATGAACTGAAGAAATACGTTCCTGATCTGAAGATCACGTACAAACCAGATGGGCGGCAGTATATTGGTCAGTTAATAATACAGTATAAAAATATTAATTATGTATGAAATAATACCTTATTGTTTAATCTTTAGCTGATAATTGGCCACAAGTGTTCGATGACAGCGAGGCACGACGAGATTGGGGATGGAAACATAAATACGATTTAGAAAAAGTTGTGGAATCAATGGTACGCGATGTTAAGACGAACTCTTTTAGTAGACGATCATTAAAAGAAGTCAATAGTTATGTATAATGCGCAGAAATGCCTAGGAAATAATTCATGTGAATTAGAAAAGTTATAAGAATATTATTTATTTTATAATAAAATTATGATCAACAAATATTACGACAATTAGGTTTTTATAATTTATTCATTTCACATATCTTCCTCCATTAATTCACTGATTTCATCCATATTTAGATCATCTATTCTTTTAGGTACCGCTTTAGTTATTCTTGTTGGTGTCCCACCCCCTCTTTCTACACTTTTAAATGGTGTCCCACCCCCTCTTTCTACACTTTTAAATGGTGTCCCACCCCTTCTATCTATGCTTCTAGTTGGTGTGCTAAATCTATCCGTGTTTCTCGATGACTGACTAGCACTCCATGAAGGTGTACCGATAGTTCTTTCCATTTTAGGGGTAGTACTTATTCCGCTTTGGGAAAATCTATCCTTAGTTTCCGACTCTGTATAAAGAATGTAATAAAATAATTCATTATATTTTTTAATAGTCAAATATTACGTTACCTGTAGAATCATTCTTAGTCAATATAGCACGACTTTCAGCGAAATATGCATTTGGATGCATAATAGGTTTGTCTGGCAACTGGTTATGCATAATCTTAAAATAGGTCGCGCATGCGATATTGTAATGACCAACATTGGCTAACTCGACGATTTCAGCAACGTCTGAAATACAATAGTAATCCTCAATCTTTATATCTTAAAAATAAAGTTATATCCATACCTGCTACTGACATTCCATAACTCAACAGTTTGTTTTGCAATGATCCAGAGTCCATGTGTCTATATGGACATCCATGGTATTCACCAGCACCCACTGTAGAACATATAATTTTTGGACACCCAAGTGGAGTGTAGTTTGTCTGTTTGCCTTCTTTGCCATATATATGCCTTAGTGCATAAGAATATTGTTTATCAAATTTGTCTGCATCTACTTTCATTGAAAACTCTTTCCTCCAAAATTGCAAAGAATCATCCAATGTCACTCCAATACCTTTCAGAAATAAACCATATTGAATTCGTCCACTATTTTTGAGATGATGGTTAGCCTTGAGTGCTTCGTGTAATATTCTCATACACAAAGGATATGATATTTTTGATAACTGAAAATTATTTAACAATGTACAAATGTTAAACTATATAGGGCACACTAGTTACCTCATCTAATTTGTCTATAGGTGTAGTGGCTGTGGACCAAACCACACGTGTCATACCAGAGAAACAACCAGGCAAAGATTTAAGGAAAGATATTAACCTTTCATCATCATACATATTTGATACACAAAATCTTGCTTGCTGTATAATATAAATATAGCCAAATGAATGAATATTTAAATATTTCTTTGTTAACTAGTGTAGTAGTAAATGAAAACTTACTTCCATACCCTCCAGTAAATTTTTTCTAAAATATGAAACAAACAGAGATATCAAATCTGATTGTGGGATAAATGCTGTCCCTTTAGCAATATAAATTTTACGTGATCTAACTAGATCAACAACTTTTTGGAAAGGCACTTTATAAAATTCTATTGTATCAATATTTGAATTCTTAAATGTAGATGAACGAAGTTCTTCCCGAATTTCATCTTTTTCTTGTTGTGTAATCTTAACAAATCAAAAAATAAAAGAAAGAAAAATAAGTACAGATTCAATGAACACCTAACTTGTATTCTGCTTTATTGATTTTATTTCTTACTTGTTCACAATCTATATTATGCATAGTAAGTAATTTTTCTACTCCTTCTTTATCTAATGAACTAAATCTCAACTTAAAAAAGTCAACTTCATGATTAATGAACCACATTTGACGATCTGAATCTTGGCAGTATGATAATCTCAATACAAAATGTGATATGTGATCCTTTTTCCTATACTGTAAATCTGTTTCTTCAGATGATTTGCATCCCTTTGCATATAAAAGATGCGCAAAATACTTAAGTCCATCTTTGATTAAAGCTGCATTTAAATGTTGTTTACGTTCATCCAATGTTTTAAACTCCTGTTTTAAGGCAATGCTTTCAAGATGCTGTAAAACTATAAAATACTATTATAACTTCAACAAATGGGAAAGCTATCCATAACGCAACAATTCAATCATTATGTTCTAAACTACTTACGCTTTAATCTTTCCATACCCAATTGCTGAAACTCTATAAATGGGATTTCCCCTGATGGAGGGAAATTATACATTTGCAAATCATGTTGATAAACATCTTGTAAGTCCTTGATTTCAACATTAACTGTATAACGCCGTCTTTTAGTATATTCCATTGTCTAAAATGAAACACAATTCCTCTTTTCTATATATTCTAAAATTTCACATTCATATGCAATACTTTTAAAGCAGTTTGTAGGAGAAGAATAAGAAAAACAATCATGGTTAATAAAACGAAATAAATAAGTCATACTTACTTGATTAATTATGTTTAACTTGCTGTGTGTGTTCACTCTTAGTGCTTCTAAAAACTTAAAACATTTGCTAAGCAGCCATTACTTCATTACCGGTTTCCCGCGCTTTTATTCCCGCCCTTTTTTTAAAAACATCGTTCGATATATTACGAGAAATGCGATAGATGCTACCACGCAAATACATTATAAATTATCGGAATTTCAAATGGTTGCAAATAAAAAAATACATTGTACATTTATTAAACATTAGTATACGTTGTTTCATTTACACAGCAAAATTGCACAAGATTATGCATCAAAAAACATTGTATATTGCTACATAAATAGATCATAGATTAGACTTTTTATTTAACGAAGTTATGTAGACATTTTTCACTTGTAAAGGAGCTAAATGACCATCTGTACTATCAAAATTTTGAACGAATAGTTCCTTTACTTGAAGATTAAAAAATTCCATCCTGTTTTTTGTTGGTGATATTTCTCTAAATTCACGAATAGTGATATCACTTCTATTAATAATTTGTTCGTCGATTAAACTAACATCCTTAGGGTACATCGAGTCTCCTGGTAAAACATGCACTTTTCCATCCTGCAGCTCCACCTTCACCTAATCACACGCACAATTTGTTTAAATTATTCAGAATTCAGACAAGTGTATAGTATTACATACCGGCAAATTCAGAAGTACTCCCATTTTACTTCGATCGACAGCGAAATCTAACAAATTGTCTATACTTTCAAATTTCGCTATCCTTGCAATTTCATATTGTTGCGGAGGTGGCAACAAAATACCCGGAGAAAATAAAAAACTTCCTGGCACATCCCACTGAATTATACATAAAATATTAATGATATGCTCCAGATTATTTTATCGATCCGTTGATATAATAAAACTTTACTTTCGAATCCACCATTTCCGTCGCTTCAGGAACAGCGTTAGGCACGCTTGGTAAACAAGCTAAATAGAAAACTGTGTCGTATCGTCTTCTAGTATAATAAGTTGGTGTTAACCAATTGCTCCATTCGTAAAGAGCCCATAAATCTGGATAGCAATGAAAGTTTTCGCATAACGAGTAAAATGCTGTTGCATCGTTGTGCACCTTTGTTTGCCAATTGTCCAATTCATTCTCAGAAACTGTTAGTATGAAAAATGTGCACGTTTAATGATCTATCAAATGTCCTTCGTTTCAGGAAGAATAAATGTACAAGAATTAATCAAATGATAACATTACTTTTAACGTGTTGTGCCCAATCAGGGTAAGCATTATCTTCTCTTGATTGCTTGCAGATTAATACGCCACATTCTTCGAAGGTTTCACGAATTGCAGTAATACGCAATGAAATTTCTCTTGGCAATTCGTTTGGGCCTGATTTAAAAATAGAAGGACGCATACTTGTGGTTGGTTTTAAAGACGTGAAACTATTAACATCGAAACCGAAGGCAGAGAAAAGATCGTGCCATTTCAAATCAGCGTCTGAGGGATGCACCACGCCACCAGGAAATACATAAGTATTTGGCATAAACTTGGAATTTTGATGACGTTTTAAACACAACAAATTGTAATTATACTGAAACTGAATGTTATTTTGTAAGTTTCTCTTGAATATTTTATAAGAAGCTGAATGATTTTTCGTAGCAAATGAAATTTAAATTGTCGCGCGTTTTGTAGATTGCGATCAATATTACGATATTCGTAATATCATTAGGATCAATTAAGTTTAGGTGTTTGATGATTATTTTTATTTGCTATAAACAGTAATAAATGTTTATATGATTTTGGTATACATATGTTAAATAAAGGCATAAATTATGTGATACTTACATTTGAGGGTAAGGAGGAATTAATGTATTTTTGTGTATGACGAGCTGCTAAGATTAAACTAGCAGATTCTCTCCAAACTTTCATATTTATTATTAAGTAAACCTGTTTAATTTAAAATAATATTCACAAATTTATATATATTAGTTAAGGTTATGGTCCCATAAATAGAACTGTCCCTAACCTAATTCAATTGTAACATTTGGTTTTTAACCTAACTAAATGTATAAACTATATACGTAATAGGAATTGAATGTTGACGTGACATCAAATAAACGAACGATTATCGATAGCATTCGACTTTTGATAAGTTGAAAATTACAAGAATTCAAAATTAATAATAAGTTTTTTAAAGTTATGTCTTTGTGGTAGGTATTTAATAAGTTTTATTGAACTTAGACGACGTTTTCAATTCTGTACATAAATTTACATTGAAAGTAATAGTGCAATGTTTGTCTAAAAGTAAGATACTATAAATAGTTTATATACATAATTACAGTTATATTAATAAATTATGTGAGTGACACAATGTGAGAAGCTATGCCATGTAAAATATTTTAATTTATTGAAAAGTCTATGTTATGTTTCTTTTTTATTTTTATCCTCTTTACCAGTTGCTGCATTCATCAGTTCATATAACTGATACACTTGTTCATCTCTGAACTTATCAAGATCTTCTTGTTTTAAGTCTTGACCTAAAGGTTTAGCTGTATGTGGTCCTTTTATGCCAAGCTGTTTGGCAAGCATTACTGCATAATCCTATAAGGAAATAATAAATACTAAAGTTTAGATGCAAAGAAGGTCATGACCTTGTTAGGATTAACATCATGCGGAAATTGAATGAAAGTTAACCTAAACTTTCTAAAGAAAAGTTTCAATAAAATGACTAAAATTACTTACTGTCCACTCATTTAGAAATATTAATGCTGCAGCCTCGTCACAGTTTTTATGTCTTCTAAATTCATCACGAACATAACTATTTCCTAAAGGTTGAATTTCAACCGGTAAACCACGATGTAACCTCAAAATTGTTTTGTATAATATTCTAACCCGTTGTATGTGAGAAAAAGTGGGCATAATTTATTAATTCAAACTATGTACGCATATCAAAAAATTATTTGTATTTAATATTTTTTACTACAATTTATTTTCAAGTTCAATACGATACATTTGGATTCAGTAGTATCAGTACCAATTTTTGAGTACACCCTCGAGCAAGTTCGCAGACCCTCTAGTGGAAATGGTGGTCTAAGCCAGTGGAGGAGAAGGTGTCCCCTCCATTGAGTATGATACATATATGGTATGATACTTTGAGCCAGCAGGCATTATGCCTAATTCACAGAAGACACTTTTGTATTCGAGAAAGAACAAAATTTTCTCAAATAGGGAGAAAACAGAAGGGTAAAAGGGAACCAATGTTCCCAGAATACGCCATCCTCGCGGATGACAAGAGGCGCGAAATGCACCCTTAAACACCCCAATTTGAGGGAACTTATTAAGATGTAAGATATACGGAGAAAACCTCTCGCGAGAAAAAGGGGTACGTAAACGTACCTCGCCTGCACTTACAGGGAAACCATTAGATAGATAGATAAACAATAAGTCGCTAAAACAAGTCGGTTCGTTAATTAACTAGTAACATGAATAATGAGTTCGATTCGATAGTCGGTTGTCAAATCGGATTAGATCGGATCGGATAAAGTACCTGTATACTACATAAGCTACCTGCCTATCTATTGCTATATTTAAAACCATTCTTTTCAATATTAGCAAAATAAATGAAAAGAATGTTTCAATTTAAAAAGCGATTTCGCTATCAAAGTAATTAGTTCGAACAAAGATATTCATGATTATTACTTTGACTTTGAATTTTGCTCATCGTGAAATACCTTCTTGTACATATAAAAAAGAAAAAATTACAACCAGCCCCCGTGTCGTTTCGGACTACTCGTCCTACGACGTGATGGGGACCGGAGGAACTATAAAGCATGCGACTCACTAATCGTTGACTTGCACCACTGCGCTCGCAATGTCCCTCAGTGATTCATAGTTGAGATCAGTAGCTCGTCTCAGAAATGGTATCCTCCTGTTGGTCAAAGCATCCTTCTGAAACAAAAGAAAATCACGATTCTTGTACGTGTTCAAATTTATTCATATAAATATGCAATAAACAAATATTTATAACTCTGCAAATTTAAAAATTCGCATGAAACACAATACAATAACCACGCCATAAAACACAATAATACATTTGTAAAAGTATGGCAAAACATTTAGGGAACCTTATCAAATATTTGTAAAAGCACAGCAAGACACATAAGGAACTATTCCATTAAGTACACTAATAAGTTCGTATAAACATGCCAAAACATACGGGGAACCATACCATAAAACACCATAAAGCACATGCGTATACATTCTAAAACACATGGGGACCACACCATAAAACCCACTAATAAATGCATATAAATATTCCAAAATGCACGGAAAACACCATAGGCACACACAGTAACAATATGGTAACACATCCGTACCCCTCGGCGGTTGTTATAAGACTGATTTGATTTGATCTTGGTCTATGTCTAGGACGAACAGTTTACAACGGTGCCCGATGAACCGTGACGTTCTGCTTCACCGCCTTCACGGTAGGATACCTCGACTCTAAGTTGATAATTATTTTATTAAAATTTATTTATAAAATTTATGAACTAAATTATTGTTATATCTATTAATATTTATTATTTTTTTACATTTTCGCATGGATATACTGCAAAATTTTTTAATATTACTGTTATTAAAATTTATTTTACTACAATTTTTACTTTTGTAATAATTTATTGTTTAAACTATTATTATATCTATTGAAATTTATTTTTCAGATTTGCGTTTAAATATATTGCAATATTTCTAAAAATTATTATTATTAAACACTGTTTCACAACAATTTTTTATTTCATACTAATTTATTATTTAAACTATTGCTATATCTATTGAAATTTATTATTTTTATACATTTTCGCACGGATATATTGCAATTTTTTTTATTTAAATTATTATTATTGAAATGTATATATTTATATTGAAATCTATCATTTTCATATTTCTTTTAAAATTATTATAAAGGGGGTAGGAATACGTTAAAAAATCGTTTTTTTATATAATTTAATTTGTGAAAGCATAATAAATATGTTATCAATCGATAACTATATCTGTACAAGAACAATAGACGCGTAACATTTCATACATTTTATCATCTGCAACGAATATAAAACTACAACTGTACAATTTATGAATAAATAACATCGCGATAGATTTTATTACAGTGAAATTTAATGTAAAGCTATTTAGGAAGGATTGTACTGTCCCGTACACGTTATCGTGTACGATTATTTCATTTTCATTTTCTACAGAAAATGTAGAAGAAAAGCCTTGTTACATCTTCGGAAACAGATGTTTGCTTGATTAGTCTAATTATACCCGGCATAAAAAAAAAAAGGAAAATAGAAGAAGAAATTTACCACTAAGTACTACGATAAGCGTGTCGTTGATCGACGCGATGTAATATGAATTATGATCGAGTGCTTTTTTTCTAAATCGCTTCGAAGGTATAAAAAAAAAATGGACGTACGATTGAAGGTATTTCATGGTTTTGTGAATTCGAAGCAATTACGAACTGGAATTAACGTGAGAATTTTAAAATACTTTCTGTCGGTTAATCGTTCCCCTCAGTCATCTTATGTGATTATAGCAGCAATGGGCAACGTTGCCCTCAAGGGATAATGATGGATAGTCAATTCCTCAACTTCTTAATTTGGTGTTTCTTAATTTTCAAATCTCCAAATTACCAAATAACCCATGAGCTTCTCAGTGAGCACTTTATCTGCCCATCACTGATTCATAATTGTTAACTAGACAACGATGATAGTTTAACGCTTACAGAGGGCACAGAGTGTCTGAATTTTAATTGGTCAAACACTAGGAACATATTCTTTGGATAAATAAAAAAAGAAAACAAAAAGAAAAAAAAAATGCTTTACTAGAAAAATCATATAAAGTATGAAAACGTCCTTAGAATAATGAGCAACGAAAGTGGTCAAAGTCTCGACATCCATAATAAATACGAAAATAAATAAATCGTCTTGTTAATAAACTAATTATAATGGAACGAAAGAATATCGTTTTCTTGACCATTGGCATTAAAATTCAGGCAACCTGTAGTTACACAGGTACAAATTCGTGTGACCAATAGATTTACAAATTTTCAACAATATTTAAACATCACAAATTTTCACGAAATTTTTCCATTATAATCACATCTATTCATCACTGTGTTTATATCTAATTTCTAATGATTATCATTGAATATCTTTTTCTATCACTTTCTAATTAAAATTATAAATATTTCGTATCAAGCAACTTCGACGTGACTAGGATTTTTTTCAAAATTATTCGAATTTTGGAATTCTAGAACGGTCAAATCTTAAAATCTTCGATTGATGAGGGTTCCAGTCCGTTTCTTTTTGGAAGGGGGGCCAAGCTCATCCTGCGCCCTACCTAGCCACGCCGATATCAAACAACGAGAATAGAATATATTTTGATAAATTTTATACAAACATCAACATATATAATCGTGTTTTAAAAGTAGATTGGCCACTCTGACATGTACCCCATTAATAACATACATATATATCTAAGAAATCTTTAGTAGTTTATACAAAGACGTAGAATGTTATTGCACCTAAAGAAATAGACTAATCATCCTTCTCATCACGAGCCACGTTTTTAACTATAAATAAAAATAAATTGCTTTCAGTACGAAGCTCGCGACAAGAGAATATTCTGATACGTTAATTGTATTTTACAAAAAGTAGTCTCGATCAGAGTTTCTCTGGTTAAATTAATAAATAATCGCTAGGTGTGATCTTGTATATAATATAGTAACCGTTTTGTTGCATTTCATTAGGATTCTAGCGAGGATCTAGCAACTGGATTTCCAGCTTTCTTCTTCTTCTTCTTCTACTTCTTCTTCTTCTTCTTCTTCTAAATTGCTAAGTAATAGGTATATTGCGTAAAAGGCGGGTCAAAAAATATATTATATCGTGTATACATATATACTTGGAACTGGAAGGGCGACTAGTCGGACCCTTTATCTTCATTAACTATGTTCCCGGCGATTTTGAAACGTGTTTGAATAAAATATATACGTCTCTATACAAATGTCATGGTTACGTGAACATTGGTGCTCCGTGTAAAAATATTGCTCTTGTTTTTATTCTTTTGATTCGTCTGAAAATGCGCGAACTTATTCTCGGTACGATTGCCTGGAAAGTCTTCTGATTTAATTATTTTCATTATCTTCAAACAGTCACCGATCTTTTCGTGGACTGCAATACTTTTATAAATGACTGTACGTGAACAGAAAAAATGCTACTTGTGAAATTTTGCGCGGAAACGAAGTTTCTCAGTCGTAATTGAAGCAGCCTTTCTTTTATTTCTCTTTGTCGCAACCTCGATGGAAATTTCTACATTAAATAAGAAAATACTTTATTCATTATTCTTTATCG